TCGAAAAGCGAGACAAGTATATAAAAGGCTTACATAAGGTACAATTGAGTATGAGAGAGCAAGAGATCATGTTCCCTCTCGGAATTGCAGCCAGGCATCCTCGACATGTCGATAACAGGCCAGCTCGGTCCCGCGGCCCACCGATACATCCTTCGATATATCCCTTGCACACATTGAGAGCCAACCCTATTGCGTCGTCAACCCCTCTCTTATTCGACCGCTAAATGGCCAACCACCACCCAACACACCATCCACCATCCACTCCCGTCTCTACCACCCTACGCTGCTCAATTATTGATACTTAGTATCCCACTCGCTCCGATGCTGCTGCTGCTACAGTTACAACTTTACCAGTTACGTGTATCACCACCAGCCAACATATCTATATATACATCTGTTCATATATACATACATATGTGGTTCTTAGTTTTGCTACTGTATACCTTCACTTCCTCGCTTCTTGCTCTCATTCCCAGATCTGGGACATCCATTCGTTTTTTCACGTCATTAGACTCTACTACTCTATACATATATAGATAACGTAGGTACATACATATCTGCATTGCTCTGGTCTCTCTGGGAAATAATCGAGAAACGAGAGGAACACCCTGCGGTTATAACCCCGGTACTTCCTATAATACCGTACACCGGTGGTTTCGTATATGGTTTATCGAGGCTAATGAATACTTGCCAGTTGCGACATACACGAATCGATGATTAATTATATGCGTGAATATATAGAGTTATACATTGTTTCTTATTACCAAAAGCAACAGCAACATCAAACAGCTTTTTATTATTTCTTCTATTCACATTTTCAGTTCATCCTGTTTTCGGTACTTCCTGATCCTCAGTAATACTTATAATGATGCTGAAAATTGTCGTACAAAGTTATATCTTAGATCGAGAGATAATGGATGGCATATAAATGTAACACAATAAATATGTAGGAAAATTTATATAAAAGTTTAGTTAAATAAAAGATGGAAGAAAGTGGATGAATATATTTCTATTGTTACATTATATATTTTATTCCTTAAGTTTAAGAAAGTTATTTTATTTTTAGTATTTTCACCAGCACACAATGACGGTCTATTATCACTAGCTTCCTGTCAAACTCTTCGAATTCGTCGTTAGTGTCCTTTAAACGAGCACCGGGACTTTTCGCGCTTATTTTTTGAGCCCTCGGGGCTGACCGCGAGCTTAATATCACGGTTGAAAAGTTTAAAAAGTTGTAAGAAAAAAAAAATAAGTTTAATAAGAAGAAGAATATTGTTAAAAAAATTTATATATATTCAACAGAGAGAAAAATAGAAAGAGATGGACAAGTGTCTCGACGATCGACTGATTTGCGACTTGTCTCGATTCTTGCGTGGTCGGCACTAGTATTCTGTCTAAGTGTATTAGACTCCGTAAGAAGTAAACATTTATTCACTTTCTCTCTTTGGTTACTAGTTACGGGTTATACGCGGTAGTGGAAAAAGAGATCTAGTGTGTAAAGATGAGCCGAAGGTCCGAGGAGTACAGCAACTCGGAGAGGCTTATACGGTCGACATGAGTCCCGTAACACCCCTATAGATGCACCCTTACCCCGCTAATGGCACCCTCGGGGTATCCCCGAAGAAGCCTCTCGTATTTATTATTTAAGTTAGTACGAGATGGGAGAGCCCAAACAGCCGTCTTGATGTTCCACCTTAAGCAAACCCTCAAACCTAACACAAGAAAAACTCTGACGATTTATCCGCAAATATCCACGCGAAAGTCCAAAATATGACAAATTAATATCACACGAGTAATTTCTGTTTGAATTTTTGGGTATGAGAACAAAATAATTAAACTTAAAACAGTATTCTACTTTGGGCGATTAAAAAACGATATTTCTACAAATTTTTTGGGAGATTTTGAATGAAGATATTGATGTCAAGTTTGTTAAACTTCATAAATATGCTCTTGATTAACATTAAAAATTTTTCATCATACATTTTATGGATTGTTACCTTAATTAGTAGGTGAGTCTGCGCTGATATTGAAATTAAGAAAATAGGCCATTTAAAATAGAAAAATTTTGAATACTTTAATTCAATATATCACTCTCTACGAGCTGAACTAAGATTTTTATTTTGCATTCAAAAATAACAAAATGACGGAAAAAAAGAAATGAAAAAAATTGTATGTTTTTTTTTCACTACTTTTTGTCACAAAAGAATAATAAAAATCAAAAATTTTTAATAATATTAGTTCAGTCGGTTAGTGCAAGTGTACATAATATATGGTTAAAATTTTATTACAATCAGTTCAGTAGTTGTGGAAATTTTAGCACCAAGCAATGTAAAAGTGTGGTTCTGAGAAAAACGCGATTAATTTTTTTTTAAACTTTATTAGCGCGTCCACATAATTTTACGTTTGAGACGCGGAAAAATAAAATAAGAGTGCTTGAATCGATTTAAAATTTTAATAGAATATTCTTGAATATATTAATTTTTGAAAAATCAAAAAACCAATTCGAGTTTTCTAAAATTTCAAAATAGAATGCTGCTTTAAAGCATTCTTTACGCTCAGAATTTTATTCTATCAAATTCATTACATTAAAAAAAAAAATTTTTTTCTGACAATAACTAAAAATTTTTCTTATAATTTTGAGCACCAATAAAGAAAATAAGTTTTGGTGAGTGTAAGCTGCAAGATGATTTAATTTACCACAGCTATTCCGCTTCACTTTCCTCCTCCTCTTCTGTCTTAAATCCATAAAGAAGAATTATTTGTAAATACATCCAAGCTTATTAAATATTGCGTTCTACACACATATATTTTATATATCCTAAATTTATTTGTGTGTACCGAAAAAAAAATCCACCGCCTGCCGATGATAAATCGCTGATGGTCAGTCGAGCAAAAGATCCTGCCTGACATGGACGTATAACTGTTTTTCCATCGACGATAATTTCATATAGCTATATCATTTATTTCTATTTATCAATAATATAAAATAAAACTGTAATATAATGGCAAATAATAAATTATTTTTCAATGACTACAAATAATAATGACAAATATATAAAAAAATACAAGCACTCTGCTTTTTCTTGCAAACGATAATTTCATTAGTTAAATTAAGTTATTATTATTGAAACAATTCAATACAAATAAATCCTTAATTTAATCATTATACGGTTTATTATAATATGTTCATTATACTATGTGTATTGATTGCATCAGCATATTGACATTCGATTGTCCAATGTATATGCAAGCTCAATTCGGAGTTGTTAGGCGTCAGCTGCTCGACGTTATTGATACTACATTTATCCCGATTTGACGAATCGTCGTTGTAACCGCCGCCGAGCTTAATGATCCGAGCGATAAAGAGAGACGAAATAATGAAACATATCAAAAAGAGAAGCAACAAATTTTACCAAGCCCGATACCCAATTGGATACATATTTTCGGTCTCATGACTCGACTTTTGGATGGCTGTTTCATTCAGTCGTAAGTAAGGAAAAAAAAAGAAAACAAATTGTTTAACTTTTTTTTAATAATAGATCTTGTAACTTCAGAAAAATCAATTTCTGCGGATAAATTATTGTGCTATAATAGATTATCGTCAAGCAATATCGTTGAGTGGACAAAAATAACGGAGCAATACCATCTAGCGGCGAATACATGGATTTATTCACAGTTATGTACCACTTGAGTTTAATATCAACATGCTGAAGAAATCTCCTCTATCGATTCCATGGCAATTTCATATCTTGCGCTCGTACGAATATAAGAGTAAAAAAATATTATTACGATTATTTATTTTTTTTTTATACCATATACCATTATCTTTAAGAGTATGATATGGTATATTTAATTACATTTTTATCGTTAGATTAATATTAACCATAAAATAATTCAATAAAAATGAAGAAAAGTTATTTTTTGTAGCATATTTTCCTTCTCAAAACTAGAGAATGCATATATACATCAATCTCAAAATAACATACGGAGAGAATCTCGAGTACTCAAAATAACACCACACTAGTTACATGATTGGTTTGGTCTGGACTGTGGGATCCGATGATTACTTACATATGTGGGTGGCCCGAGGCTTGAGGCTGTGTGAGAATATATATATATATATATATATATATATATCATTTTCCATACTGAGAAATACTGAAATCAGAGAGGGCCCACATGTGAACAATCAAACTCATACAAGATACGAGACTAAAATAAGCTCAATCTGTAGCATAGAAATGCTGCTGTTAAATCTTTACCTGACTCTTTGACGGACCCCTCCCTCTCGGTAAAGTTGGTCCTTGGTAGGCATAATATAGATATACCTTTGATGCTCGAGGGGCCTAAAGAGAGGGGGGTGGGGTCCAGAGGGAGCAGGAGAAGTAATACCATGGCAGGCACATTCCAAGCATGAGCGATACAACTGCTTTAACAAACCAGGCCCTCGTTTTGATCCCCACTGCTTGGCTCTCACGGTCTTTCCTCAGTTATTTATCCTGCTTACTCTCATCCGTTTGTGTGAACGTAGTGTAGGGCCCCATTCGAATTCGGAGTACTGTATGTACAAGTTGAGTCTTTCTTTGCTTTAATATATCCCCCGCTTTCTGATGCAGCGCTTCTTCACTAGTACGGTTTTTCTTTCTCCTGTCTCGACTTACCATCAGACGTACTCAGTTACGCGATAGGTCGGGTCGTTGGTTCTTCAGCTTTGCTTCTTTTTCATTTTCCTCTGTGTGTTGATTATTATTTGTGAGAATTCTTCTTCACTTGACAAACGCGTTACTCTGCTCTATTATAAATAGACGTCAGTAATGCTGGAGAGTTATTGCGATAAAACGTTTAACAGTGATCTAATAAGTTTTGTTTAAAAGTTATACTAGTTTTGCACATATTAGATATCAGTGGCAGTGATGAATATTTAACAAAAGTAAATTTTATTTGGTGAGATGAAAAAGCACCAGATTGGCTAGACATAGCCGGATGCGGCGGTTAAGATAATGACCACGTTCAAGGACCTTTTGGATGGTTCATTGGGCCGACAAGTATGATCAGCATTCGAGGGTCAACGAGCCGCGTCAATTCAACTCGTATAATTAAGTAAATTAGGCGTTAACGTTTATAAATATATATGTATATATATCTATCTATAGTGTAGTGAAGCATACATATATATATATACGAGCTCCAAAAACAGGTTTGATAAAATGTCTCAACGAGGTACATCTCCCAATTGTGGTAATACGGATATTAATAATCAGCCACGAAATATTCGGGTGGTTGATTATGATGAGGAAGATGATTGGAACAACTCTCGTAAAAGTTCGAATAACCATCAAGCAGAGTTAAGCCATCTTCAGCATTGCCGTGTAGAATCACCTTTACATTCAATCCAACACACCAGAGCACGGCCAAACCACAGTCCAATATTTTCCGCAGACTCCACCTACAGTACAAGAATGGATCTTTCAGATTTGACAGACGTCGGTCCAACTAACGCGCGTGACGATATAGATTCACAGAAAATCCGGTTGTACTTTCCCCCAAATCATCAGAACAATACCTATTGTAGTAGAAGCTTACTGCCTACTGAATCTCCGTATTTGCTCCAGTCACATGCTCCAATAAACGATACCGATCTTGCTAATGAAAGAGCCAGTCATTATCATTGCGCAATGGAGGAGCAAAAACATAGAAACAAGCACATTGATGAAAGATCAACCAGTCCGGCTTCCAGTTCAGATCCAGCGGAAGTTCTCACTTCGCCGCGACAGCATTCCAAGCACCGACAACATCTATCTCATCGTCATCGGACCGCTAATTTGAGTAAAGATCCTCATTTATATCACAGTACAATTAATTCTGGTCAATTAAATCATCAGCATTCTTCCCCGCTGGCTGACAGGCATCGCCAGCAAAATATCTGTCATCGATATCATGAAATCGGTCAGCCGGCATCCTGTTCTCCAGTTTGTGATTCTGGTATCAGAGAAGACGACAGGTCATCTTCGGTCCAGTCAAATCATCGAGATCGCTTATCTAGTTGCGATGACATAAACGCAATGTGTTCAATAGTTGGTACGGGAACAACAACTACCGCAACCATGTCCGGCAATCTTCTATCTCCATTGCCTAACGTCACTGTAGCGAATTATCATCATCGTGCCAGCTCCGGTATCTCCTGCGAATCATCAACCTCCTCGCCCAGTATTAGGAATCATGGTACGCTTGAGAACTGCGTGACTGAGAGGCATCGAAATTTATCCCGTCATAATCACGTGATACAGCCTTATGCTCTGGATCCTCCTCAACGTGTTCAGAGTGTTCATCCGCGTGAAACAAAGAGTCCACTTCTTATTGGGTTTGATTCTATCCAGGTAATATATTACAAAAATTATTTTAATTGCAATATTTACCGCTATCGTATTATATGCATTTATTTAACATTTAATACATTTTAATTGCTCTAAAAATTTAAAGAAATATATTTTTTAATTTAAAGATGACACCAACTTTATCAAAAAATAAATGCCGGTGCCACATTGATCATTCACAGCAACAACAAATGCAATTACAGCAGCATCACCAGCAAGAACAGCTTCAGCAGCAGGCTCACCAATCTCACCATCACCACCATCATCATTATCACCAGCATCAGCAATACAGCAATCAAGACAAACGAGGTCCAGAAACTGAAAATAATGATAACAATATCGCTGCGGTGACATCACGAATTCATCAACCTCCCGCATTACCTCCTAGACCACCACCTCGGTCAAATAGACGATGCGATGCAACTCCGTATGATCGTAAGTAATTTATAACATCGATAGCACTGTAATATAATTACAGATTGGATATTCAAATTATTAAGTGCCGAAAACTAAAGAGAAGAAGTTATAGAAATTTATTCATGACATGATTTTAATTAATCTAAAGATTAGCATTACAGTAAGTTATAAATATTCAAAGCAAACAAAGAAAAAAATGAAGCAAGCAAGTTAAATCTTTTCTTTGTTGTCTAGCTGAGAAATTCAATTTCCGATCCACCGTGTTCAGCGCTTTTACATAGCCCGATCGATTCAGTCGTTTTGCAAGCTCATTCGGCGCCTTGTTTTTCACCCTTGTCGTCTCATTCTCGCTCACACTCTCATGGTGTTTTTTTTTTCTTTTTTATTTGAACCCCTCTTAATCCAACTGGCTGTTCGATTGGCGAATTGGTCACCCTCGGTGAGTAACTCGATTAACGAATGAATCAAAGCATGAGGATCCAATAGATCCCCTAAAACTGTAAGGCAAAGATCAACTTGCTCAATATCCCGGCACTAAAAAGTTACGTCCTCTCTAATAACAGCTAACAATATTACGTATGTGTCAACGCGATCTCATCCATAAATGCTTCCAGTAATTAAAAGGAACCCATTCAGTTGATAGTCGCAAGTGTTTATCGATATCTCTTTATTCTTAATCATAATTACTGGTGGTCATGCATTAAACATTTGCTCCTTGTGGTTGCTCAATTTCACCCCAGCTGTTATCATTGCAATCTGTCCTACCAACTTGCGATACTCTGTTGAGTCAGTTGCACCCTCCCGTACGTTCCACCCCTGAGAAGAAATATCCCTCTGATGATTACGCTTTTCCATAATTCCACCAAGTTTAACTGGCGTCGCTTTTGTCGTTTGCAACGAAAATTCTATCGATCAGTTTGTAATCAAGAGTCCCGCGCAAACTCGAAGAAAGATAAACGAGTGGCCATGGTGATGACAGCTTCGATTCAGCTACCACGAAGACAGTATTATGGCTCGTTATGAGCCTTAAGATTATTTTAAATCGTGATAAAAAAAACTTCCATTATGTTTATTGTGTTCAATATTAGTATTACTGTCGTCAATAAGTATTCAAACATTATCGATAAGACCGATGGAACAGTATTATCTCGTTCAGAACACGTGGATTCAAGTCCGATGTTATTTTTGTGTTATGAGTGATTATAAATTATGGCACTGAAATTTATGTTAAATAATTGTTTACGTTGCAACTTGAATTGTTATTCAATAGTAAACGATAAACTGCAAAAATGCAATCGGTATCTCCGGCAAGATCTAATGAAACGCGAAATGTAGCAAGTGGCTATCCGTTGAGACCTGGATCAGGATCATATTTGTCCTCCTCAAGATCACCTTCCAATAAAGTTATGGACAGTTATCCTGTGCTTCAAATAGTACGCTGTCGTCTAGGTCCTGAAGCTCCGATGGAAGGAACAATAGGGTATCCTTTCACAATGGCCCCACACTCTCATTCACATTTACCACGTACTGGATATAATACTCACTTGTCACGGAATCAGTATCGTCATCCTTGTGGTACGTTGTATACATTAGATTCCCATATTAAACTCCCTTCTTTTATATATATTATATCGTTCAACATTCTGCAACAAACTAATCAATTCTTTTTTTATTTATCTTCTTATACTTATTCCCTGGAAAGAGGAAACTGTTGTAAGAAAAAGTTTAAATCGTTTGTTAACGCATAAAAATCCACATGCGTGAGAAAAGTTTTTTTTTTACGGGTTTCAATCTATGTACACTTAAATATTTTGCTCCTTCTTCTTTTATTCTGTGATCAATGGCAAGATCCAGGTAGAAAGGTCTAAGATTATAAATGGACACAGGTATTTTCTTTTAAAAAACAACCTTCGAGTGAAAAATCTAAAGCATTCAGGTGCAAGCAAGCTAAGACTAGATCGTAATGTAATTTGTTGCGGTCTCCTGATTTTTACATCAGTTATATAAGAAGACTAGAACTTTAAAATTTAAACTATCTCTGAAATAAGTTTTTTAAAAGAACTATTGTTGTTATTGTCACCCCAATCGTACACCCGAACCGGAAACGATTATCAACAGATGATGATATGTTTTTGTACCTAAGATTGTCGCTTATTGTTTATTTATTATGGTTTGTTTTCAGGAACAGATAATGGCGAAGGAAATTGTTGTAAAAAGTATGTCGTGCTTTGCTGTCTCTGTGGGGGTCTCAGTGCCGCTGTTGGATGTCTCTTCCTCGCTGTTCATGCCGTATTATCAGCCCACACAGCAAGTCTTGCGCTATTTGAAACTGTACCATCATACATTCCAGGAATAATGGTAAAAAAATCACTTTATTGTGATAAATCTAGTGGATAATATAGAGTCAGAAAAAAATTTCTATAATCTCTTTATCAATTTCTTTGCAGTTGATATTGATGGGCCTGTTTACGATGATTTTAGCAAGACGCAAACACCGATACGGTATTTTGGTAATTTTTTTAAATTGTTAATTATTATTATTTTTTTTCTTGTATTTATCTAAAACACCATTGTTATAATTATAATAATGATTAAAAACGATGCAGATGAAAGTATGCGGTTCAGTTGGAGTCGTATGTGCACTAGTCTGTGTCCTCGTCACGGTCACAACAACAGTCGTCCACATGTCAAGGCTGCAAGGTCTTCGCGAGTGCGTTTATACAGCACGTGCAAGGTAATTAATAGCGATATAAAAAGATAAAGTTGATAAAGTATAAATAAGGGTCTGGCTATAACTTCAAATGTAGCTTTAATTATTCATACATATATATAAAGGAAAAAAAAATCATAGTCGAAGGGGATACTTGTATAAAGCGTAAGCTTATTTTCCCTTTTGATTCCGATGGTATAAGTATTTAATTCTGGACACGCAGCCTTGGAAAAAATTATTTAAAATCTATTGAATGAGCACCCTTGAATTTATAAATAGTTAAACCCTTTGATAAAAATTTATCTACATGTATACGATGATTATTTCAGATCATGCACTTGTTACGGGGCACCCCAAGGTCGCGGTGGTGATCCAGGTGTGTTATTTGAAGGTACTCCTCACTGCGAAGCTGTCCATGGTGCCCTTTATGCTTGTTTAAGAGCGCTATTCGGTGTTTCTGTAGCTGGTATTTTAGCTTGCATATTTTCTTGTATGCTAGTTTATCAATTACTCAGTCACGAAAAGAAAAAAATGTACTGGGAACAGCTTGAACTGAGGTAAATTAACTATTCAATTACTTCTTGAAAGTTATTTCAATCCAAAGCTATATATATATATATATATATATATATTAATTATAGCACAGACTAAAATAATGTGATTATAATTATTAATAAATTAGATGCAGATCTCTGTATGGACATGGAGGTGGCGGAAATATGGCTGGCGCACCAGTAGGTTCTTGTGGTTGCTGTAATGACTGTGGTGGCGTTAATCCTTGGTGGGCACAAACTCCAGGGAATTTATATACTCCAAATCCTGATTTAGCACCGTCTAGGTAATCCTAATTGACCAAAAAATTAATAATTGATTCTTATCGCTAATATTCCATATACCATTAAACTAATCTTGCATCTAACGCCTCTTTATACCTAATATCTGTGTACATATTATTTAAATAGAAGATGGCGGTTACCCTGGTCACGGTCACGAGGTCCGGCACCGACTCCCGATTCCAATTACGGCTTTCATGCACAATCTATGAGACAAGCTGCCGATATTAATGATTCAACACGAGAAAACACTACGGCAATACCGAACCCCTATGGTCTTCTTGACTCCCGACAACCTCACGCTTCTTACTCCGTCCTTAATGCTCAAAACACGTCTTACACAGCAAGCACCGAGTCTTACAGTGTGCTTGAAACTCCTGTCCCTCTATGGGGACCTCCGCCTCCATACAGTGATCCCAATAGTCCAGCAAGAAGGCCACAAATAGTTGAACCCAAAGTAGCATCTTCTGCTGGTTCTACGACCTCCTCTACACCAGCCACTGGTGCGTCCCCAGCTCAGCCATTGCCTCCTTCATTGAGAATTGACACCGTTAAGAGGACAGCCGATAATTTTGAAGCTGTTAGAAATAACTACTCAGGTATTGTTTAATTATTGTTGATTAATACAAAAGAAAAAAAATTAGTATATTAATTAATATCAAATTAGAATATGTATACAAACATATATACATATTCAGATATACTAAATATACCGTGACATTGTCCTGTACAACTTTTCTCTAAAATAAATCTAAATATTAATTCTAACAGAAGCTATCGAAGGTGAAGATATTTTATTGAAATATTTTTTTAAAATGGAAAATCCTTAAATTTATATCAATCGGACCAAGAATTTACTAAAAATTCTTATTCTTTTGTGTTTTTTATGTAATAGATCTTCATGGATCGAGAACCCTTCAGCATTGTACGCCTTCCGATAACTACGAGAATACTGAAAAACTATCAAACACTACTGAACCAGAATGCAGTGGGGCGCATGAAGGGGCAGCTATAAAAACCAGACGGTCAAGAAGAAATTTGAAGGGTGTTGAAAATGACGGTTTTCAAAAAGAACCGAATAACCAAATGTCAAATAGTAAACAATCTGAAAGTGAATTATACTTTGGAGATGTTTCATCTTGTTGCGGACCTGAAAGCAGTTTATATGAAATGACCGTCGACAAAGAATTAACAGACGAGATTCTGCAACAACAACAACAACAACAACAACAACAACAAGAACAACAACAGCAGCAACAGCAATCAGATTACATGCCATCACGAATGGCCAAACAACGTCTTTCAAAGCGATCTCGACTCCCACTTCCTCTATTACCTCAGAATCAAACGTCATCCCATGAAGATATAAATCTTGATGGTGCGAATGAACGAAGTTATAGCAATAGTGATGAAACAATGACAACTTCAGGGGCATTTCTAGCTCCGGATGCCCAGTATGAAGTTATTCAACAAGGCGCGCATTATGGTTACTACATTTCTAAAGAGAATGACTATCGAGATGCGCCATCAAGCTACTCGTTTTACCCACGAGATCCAGCTAATTCTGAAATTCCACACGAATATCGAGGGATCGTTAAAGACGAAGATAATGAACATAGTAATTCATTGAGCGGAGTTGGTAGTTTAGATGATGATTTATCACACGACAAAGTAGTTAGTAGAAGAACCGAACATCAGTGCTGTACGAATAACGTTACAGACATTAATTCCGAATGGCAGAATGTGGAGCAACAGTCAAACTCAGACGACGGTGTCTGTCCAATAAATGTTTGATTTAATTAATTGTTGAAATTAAAATAATTATTATTTTTTCTTCGGTTTGTATTATTAACAGTAGGGTAGATAAAATGAAGAAAAAAGGCTGTCTATTAAATCATAGTAGATAAAAAAAATCAAGTAGATAAATTGAATAACAAAAAAAAATTACCATCATAGTATTGCACTTAGATGAAGTAATTAATAAGAATTAAAAGTTAATTTTATTTGTTATTAAATATAATGGTGTAAAAAAATAATAAATAATTTTCACCCGCCGATGGACCAAGGACAATATTTATGGAATACAAATTAATATACATTTAATGATATTAATAATATTTAAAGATATATTAATTAATCAATTAATTATTGTTTTTTCTTCTTATATATACGTACAATATTATAGATTTACGTAATCGTGTACGCACAATTTATCGCACAAATGTTCATAATATACCAATGTGCAATTCTTGATTTGAGTTATTAATTGTTATTATCAATTATTACTATTATTATTAACTGATGTAATTTTTAAAAAATATTTTGTAAGCAGACTGAGGAATATTAACAAACTATAAGCAAAGAAACGTAAAGAAAACAATAATGAATACATATAAAAATCAATAATTTATTAATAAAAATAATTAAAATTCTTATTAATAATAACGATAATAGTTTTAACGTTAATCACAGTTGAGTAAACTAAAGCGTACCTTCAAACGACTTCCGGTTGTGAAGTTTGTCTATGATCATTGTAGAATGTAATTATAAAAAAAAAAATAAAAAATAAAAAAACCTTTTTTTTTATAAATAAAACAAAAAAAGCCAATAAAAAATTGACTTCGATTATTTGCATGTACTTAATCCGTTATGAGTCATTGAATCTATTTAATTGACTTTAAACATTGATGATACTTCCGTTGACTATCAATACGCGTATCTTAGGACAAAACAGCAGCTGTGTGATCTGAGGAGCACGCGTGACACGCGCCCCAAAATTTCAACGGTCGCAAACAGCTGCTCGAAAAATCAACTGTACACTCGGTTTGTTCAAACTTCCTATTCAGCCTTCCCATTCCCCTTTACTCCATACATTTAACAAGGTCCCTTTAATATATTTAAATCCCTTGTCGATGTAAATTGGCAATTACTCAACGTTTTTTTTTTTTTTCTAATCAATAGGACTAGAACTGTTAAGTAATTTTTTAAGAAAATAAAAATTCATATAATTTAAAACCCAAAAGAAGAAATTGTAAGAAAACAGGCTGCAAGTTTAGCTGAATTTATTATATATACATAAGTACTAAAAGTGAGTAAGAAATTATATTACGTTGTGCTGGTGGTAGTGGTGGTGGCAATGCCAAAGTGGAAGTAGTGGGTAAGGAGAAAAAACAGCGGGCCCGTATTACCAATGAACCCTGTACCCTATGACAAGCAACCCCTCCACAGGCCAACGAAAAACCGTCATTCTCTTCTTACCAAGTGCAGCTGCCACTGTTCTGTAATGGTGCACACTCGATTTCGGTTTTCAGTTCACTTTTGACGCTCCAACTACTCGGTTCATTGTTTATTCTCTTATAATTTTTTTTTTTATTTTTTTATTTGCACTATCAATTTTTAACTTGTTGCAATAGTAAATTAAAATTTTCGACACTTAAATGAAGAAATAAAAAAATGTGCAGTAAAGTTATTATAGATTCAACAACGCAGTTAATAAGTGCGCCAATTCGATCTGTCAACTTGTCGTTAGAAACGTGGAGAAGACCTTCAATAATCAGTAGTGCTCTGGTGATTCTTATTCGTCGTAATTAATGCAATTGCAAAAAAACTTTTCGATCTAAATATTTAAATGTGTGTTTGATTTTTTTTCAAGAAAAAAAAAAATATTAAGAAATTTTTAAAATGTCACAGTCAATACCTGGTTATTGCTACACGAACCCTTCATTTTGCCGTCAATCGGAACAAATACCCGACGACCAAAATGACGAATTGCCACCACCGCCGCAGTTCCAAGAAGTTGAAGATCTCCCGCCACCTCCGCCACCGGCACCGACAACTGTAACAACATCAGTTCACTTCCAACACCCTCAAAACTACGGACAGGGGCACGCCAATCCGGGATTTCCCATCAGATCTGATCCAGACGCCATCGAGCTAGACCGATACGCCAAAACAACAGATCGCTACTGCTATCTGGACGAAAATCCAAAGAAAGACATCGTTCAAGAGAGAAGAATTATCTATGACCGTAACACCCGATCCAGGTATGAGTACATCGATGATGATGATCATCCTCCTCAACCGCGCCTCCAAAGAAGGGCTTCTCTTTCGCGATTTGAGATGATGAACCAGCGGCAAAACTACCAGTTCGTTCGGCAAGGAAGCTATCATGGTCAACAGCTGCAAGGTCTTGAGGATCGCAATGGAAACCAGAGGGCCCGCCGGTTTCGTCAAGACGGAAGTGACCGTTATGCTTTGGTGCCTGCGGACGAGGGTGCCATCGATGTAGAATCCAGTTCTTGGATAAATGCCGGACATTCCTCCCCTCGTGGTAAGTATTTCCTTAATTTACAATGATAATAGCCGTATAAGCACTCATTAGTAAGCATCTCAAGTTTTTTATTTTATTGCTATTATTGTTATGGTTATTTGCCGCTATTCATTCAATCACCCTCCTGACTTTTAGGACGTTACGCAAGGGTACCCATGCAGGAGGATGAGCCCCCAGTATTGCCAGATCGCAATAATTATAACAATCAGCCTGAATTGAGAGTTAATAACAATGGATTTTCGTCAAGGAACAATCTTGCGACACAAAAATTACATGAGATATTGACTACTCCGAGGAAACCGCGCTCAAAGTCAGAAGATAGAAATTTGTCGCCCGGGAAAATTGATCGGGGTACGCCACACAGAGGTGCTCAGTTTACTCCTCCCATCAGTGCGACAACTTCACCAACAGGTAGAATTTTTAGTAATTATTATAAAGGGTCGAAAACATTCCAACCCTTTAAAATTATGTTTACAATTTTTTTTTTAAATCCCTTTTTTTCCAAGTTGACAAAAAATATAACAATTAAAAAAAAAAATTGTTTTTCAATAATACAAAAAATAGATATTTTCAAATTTTTTTTTATTTATAAAATAAACTAGGAATCGCTTGACTTATTTGAACACATTTTTTCATAAACTATTTTAGGTTTATATAAAACTTTTGTTAGCATTAAAAGCTTTAAAACTAATTTAAAAATACATTTTTGATTATTTTAATCATGAATTCGCCTTAGGATAGATTAATTTTAAAAAACAATATTCGAAATTATCTGTTGTCAAAAAAAGACTGAACCTTTTCCAAGCAGTTAACGATTTTTTTTATCTGAAAATCATCAGATATTTTGGCGGTAAACTAAAAACCCACCTGCTTATAATTATAAGCATAGACACCTTATATATTACTTTAGATAGAAGAAACCATTGAATAATAGACCTTTTTTCCTTATGTTAATTAGGTCGTGGAGTAGTTCCAGGGTCTAGTAGAAGAGAAACGCCAATAGGAACACCTCAACGGGCATTATCACCATTAAGAACTCCCCAAACGTCTACACCAAATAAAGAGACACCTTCTGCGCGCAGATGTCTTCCCCTTAATGAACAACAGGACATCTGTCCGGCAAGTAATTGTGGCAGAACACGATACTACCAACGTCGTGATGCAACTTCTCCTACAGAATTATCGCAATTCAGTGAGCCGCCGCCACGTTATGCATTCCTGGAGTCAAACTCCGAGTCCATGCCAATGGTCATTGGATCACCGAAGTATCAGGTTTTGTCATCACGCTCTGAATCACAATCGCAACTTAAAAGGAATGCGTATCAGAGTGTTGAGAGCGCTTTTATTGCTAGAACAGCTGTTGTAAGTGACTAATTGCTATTTTTTAATTTACTTTGGAGCGATTATTATTTATTTAATGAGCATTTTTTTATACTCAGGTACCACCACTCTCACCGCCTAGCAGTGACGCTAATACGACATTAGCGAGTGGAATAGAAAAGAATGAAAGAAAAAGTGCACCTTTGATCCTCGTATTAGTTGGAATTTTGACTTGTGGATTGGCACTTTATTTATCATGGACGCAAGGTCGCCAGTGAGTGTTTCTTCAATTAAAACTTGCATTAGAATTTGACTTTGTTATGTTACAACAAAGCCATTTCTCAAGAAGGGAAAATTTTTTACTCATAATTAACATTATTTTAATATTCTTCAAGGTATTACTTGGACAGTGCAGCTGGATGTGGAGTATGCTGCGCACTAGCAGGAGCTTGCCGAAGTCTTCGTCGTCCTTGGACAGGATTGGGTCTTGCAGGACTATCAGCTCTCAGCTGTGCCGGATTACTATTACTTGCTGCAAAATCACCTCGTAAAGGCACTCCACTCCACGATGTTACTGCTGGAGCACTTTGTGGGGTTTCATTACTTGGTGCTGCTTTAGCGCTACTGGCTCTGCTCGCGCCCAAATGCAACCTTGGTCGTCATCGCCGTGTGCATTCCTGGATGCCGCGATTTTCACCGTAAAATAATAGAGTATATTTAAGTCATGTGTTTTTAAGTCATTATTTTTTACTATATTGTCAATGTAATAATTATTTTTTAATATATTGATAGATATCAAGTACTTTGTTATGTTGTATAAAATATGAATTTTGTAAATTATTTTTAAGGTGTATTTATCATGTACATTAGAGACTTTTCAATGATGAAATCGTTGGAAATGTTTATCTAAATTAAAAAGCTATGCAACTTATTTTTTAACCTTAATAAAGAATTATTACTGAAATTTATAAGCTTTTTTTTTAAATATTTAATAACCTTTTTTGTAAGTAATATTTTTAATTAGTATATATTTTTAACAAATAAATTAATTGAAAAGCATTCAATGTCGGTGATTCTTCCAAAGTATACTAATACGTAGATGTGAATCTTTAAATGAGTAAAACGGTTTTTATCAGATCTTGAATCATCAAAAAGATCAAATTAAGACTCAATATTCAAACGGCAAATTATAATAAATACAAAAAATTCTATGAAATATTAAAATATGATTATAATAATTGGTTACTTCATTTCAAAACACAGTTACTTATATCTTTAAAGTTTTTTCAACATTTTCTTATGTTAATAAAAAAATTGGTTGTCTGTAAAGTCGGTTTACGTGATAACGTCATAAAGAAACATTGATGAAAAATTGCATACTTTTGACTTTTATGGATTGAATTGAATTATTATCACTGAATTATCATTATTTTGTATTTAAAAATTTAAAAATTTTGAATATTTAAAAATTATTTTAACAAAAAAAAGGACTTATTGATAAATTGTTAATCAAAAATTGGTACAATAATTTGATAATTGATATGATTATTATTATTTATATTTAATATTAATTATTTTATTAATTTATGATTTTTTATTATTATTTTCTTAATTTATCGTTTACAATTATTATTAATTTATTTATTTATAATTGATATTCTTTATTAACAATTATTAATATTATCAACAACAATAATCTGACATACTTGATATAATTTGTTTAAATATAATCACGAACAATTAGTTATAGAACAATATTCTGACTGCTAGCTCTGACGTTACGCGAAAAGAGAGATATATGTCATAAGCCAATGCTGGGCCTCTCTATCGTTTGTTTAATCGTGCCTCTCTATCGCTTGTTGCACGCTCTCGCTTGCACTCACAGGCTCAGGTGGAACGCTCAGGAGGAACACAAAAGCGGAACGGTCTGTCGGAACGCGGCATTTTTTCGTGAGCGCTGTCGGTGTTCATCAATTTATAAGACGTTATCACATCAAAAACTCTCTAAATTGACGAGAATTTTTATTCAGACATAGAATAACATTACTATGTTAATATTTGATTGATATTTGATTAATACTTGTAAAAGAAAAAATATTAAACTGTTTACTTAAATTACTAAAAAATGCAGCAATACCAAAAAAAATGATGATACTGAAGTCAGCAGACACCTGTCAAGTTTAAGGTTTTATTTTAGAAATAAATGAGTGGAAAAAAAAATATTTAAAAAATTTGTACTTATATTTTTTCAAATTATCTACATACGCAATTTTTTTTTTATTCTTTTAAAATAATTTTTTCAATTATAAAAATCATAAAAATTGTTACATGTGTGCTAATTTCAGTATCATAAAAAATGTCCAAAAATTCTGTAGTTAAACTGTGTTTTGAAATGGAACAGTCGAGTGTCAAAAATCATATATCTTCTTATTTTCAATTTTTTAAAATGATACACTTTTACTTAATCATCAATTTATATGAAGATACATTTTTACCTCCTAAATATTCATTTCAAAATTAAAAAAAAAATATTGCATTAATATTTATAACGTCTAATTAAGAAATAAATTTCTGCATCAACTTCACTTGGTTCTTTTTTGCAAATCAACCAAAATTCTGATTAAAATTAAAATCAATCAACGCTGTAAATTTAATTTTTCTCGAATACTTACAAGGATAGTAATAACCGAATTTGTTTTTAAAAATTTTTTTTTTAATTTGTAAATATTTATGTACGTAATTTTGAAGATATAATTTTGTTAAAGAAACTTCAAAAATTACATATTAACAAAAGTTTCTTTGCAAAATACGATTTTTTTCTAAGCTAAAATTGAAAAATTTTTCTTTACTTATTTTTTATTCCCATTGATACTCTAGAAAATAAATAACATTACTCGAACAAGTAAAGTTAATATCTAAAGAAATTTCTGGGAAAGGATAAAGTTCATTGGGGATAAAAATCTATAAAATTACATGCAATATAAAATTAAAAATAAAAAAAAAATATACATGCATAATTAAATGAGTCAATAAACTTTACCGATGATGAGATGATAGAGATAAGGTTGCTATACTGATGACACACATTTATTACTTCTTCCCAACTTTCTTCTTGTCAATTAGCACAAAATATCTTGACACTTCGTAATTAACGCTCATCACTTGATACTTTACTTTTACTTGAATAAAAAAAACTTTATTTACCGGTCGACGTATTTATCAGTTTAGATTTGTATAGAGAATGTAAGCAAGCGTTTTAACCTTACGTAATGGCGACCGTTTTTTATGACTTGCAACAGCAATTTATAATTAACAATCAAATGAGGCAAATTTTTTTCAAAATATTATATTAAAACAAGTATATTATCATTTTAAAAATTTTTCATGTCAACGTCGGATAATTTATGAATAAAGAGTATGCGTGCACATCATCGAACGACCATTTCCCGCTTTTTTGGCTGGTGAGCGAGATTCAACGGATTTTACTTACGGCGCCATCTTTGATTGACAGAGAATACTCACAAAAAGGACAAGGAGAGACATTGAATGAATAACGTTTAGCAATGAAAAAGGTAACACATTAAGATATAGCATAGCAAGCTAAATACAGAGAGTATTACATGCAAAGCAGAGAGAAAAGAGAAATAATCATCAAAAATGCCGAGTCAAGAGGTTGTTACAACAAAAGTTGTGGTTCATCCACTGGTATTATTAAGTGTCGTGGACCATTTTACTCGTATGGGAAAAATAGGTAATCAAAAACGCGTTGTAGGTGTTTTACTTGGATCTTGGCGAGCTAAAGGAGTATTAGATGTGTCAAACAGTTTTGCAGGTTAGTTTCACTATTAGTAACTACTCTTTTTTATAATTATTAAATTTAATAATAATCAGTAGTAATTAATTCTTTTTTTTTTTTTATAAATTACTAATTATTTAATTATTTATGATTGCTGATTTTTTAAGTTTTATTTGTGTTAATACTTTTTGTATGTCTATTTTTAGTTCCTTTTGACGAGGATGACAAGGATAAATCAGTATGGTTTCTTGACCATGACTACCTTGAGAATATGTTTGGAATGTTTAAAAAAGTTAATGGTAAGTAGCTATTTGATTTTTCTGAAATTATAAATTTTCTGACATTTTATAATTTTTAAATGATTAGAAAAAAATTTTAAAAATGAAGTTAGGTGACATTTCAATATTTTTAGAAATTTTTTATCAAAAAAATTTCAATTAAAAAAAAAATATCACATGTTGAAAACTTGAACAACTATAAGTGCAATTTTTTATAAATATCTTTTCAGTTGTAATTTAATTAAAAAAAAAAAATCAAAAATTTTTAGACGTCTGCTAACTTCAGTTTCATGAAAAATTAGGAATTTCGATCATTCATAAACAGAACTCTGAAAGTTTTATTGTTCATTTTTTTTTAATAATAAAAAGTTTTTAATTTGTAATTTTTCAGCTCGTGAAAAAGTCGTTGGATGGTATCACACTGGTCCTAAACTCCATCAAAATGACGTAGCAATAAACGAATTAATTAGAAGATACTGCCCTAACTCAGTGCTTGTTATTATTGATGCTAAACCAAAAGATCTTGGTCTTCCTACTGAGGCGTATCAAGCCGTCGAAGAAGTTCATGATGTACTTGTCTTTTTGATGTAATTGTTTTTTTTTATGAGTGAATGAATGTAATTATTATTGTTATTATTTAGGATGGATCACCCACATCGAAAACTTTTGAGCATATTCCCAGTGAAATTGGTGCTGAAGAAGCTGAAGAAGTCGGTGTAGAGCATTTACTAAGAGATATCAAGGACACAACTGTTGGCACATTGAGTCAAAGAATTACTAATCAACTACTTGGACTCAAGGGTATTCATGCACAACTTCGTGAAATTAAAGATTACTTGATTCAGGTAAACCTTGTTTAATTTATTCATTGGCATTAGTTTAAAAATTAAAATTAAGATTATTATATCAAAAAACAAACGACTTAAGGGGCATAGCCACTGTGAATATCGAAAAAATAGATGATTTTTGGGAATTTTTTTTGTTTTACAAAGTATACGTTGAAGATCATTCTAAATTTTGATTAAAAAATATCATGTTGTTACAAAGTTATAAGCATTTTTGTGGAGCACCAAAAAAATTTCCCCCACCACGTTGTGATCTTTAACTCAAAAGCGGATTATCTAAAACAAACAAACGAAACAACGTTGTAATATGCATGCATGTGGTTATCGTTGCACGTAAGGGATTTTGAAAATTTGGATTTAAAAAAAAATGGCGACATTAAAAATTTTTTCGTTTTTTTTTCTCAATTTTTTGGATTCAAACAGCCCTAAAAGATCTTAAAAATCAAAAATTTCAAAATCCCTACGTGCAATGATAGCTACTGAATAGACGAATACGGGAAAAAAAAGTTACAAAACGGTTCATATTTATGCAAATTGCAGTTCCCAGCAATTCAAAAAAAGTAGTTTCGAGAAAAACGCGTTTTTGTTGGAGCGCCGCGCGTGCAATGGTCATTTGACACGCTGCCACAAAAATGACTATAACTAAAAAAATATTCGGAATTTTTATATGAAACTCTTGATACATATGTTTGCACGTATAAACTTTGATTTAATAAAAGAAAAAAAAAATTTTTTTTTTTTATAAATTTCACAGTGGCTATCTCCCTTAACTTTAGAAATTAAATATTGTTATATTTTAAGATTATAATAATTTATGAAATTTATAATATTACAGGTTAGCACTGGAAAACTTCCTATCAATCATCAAATTGTATATCAACTTCAGGATATATTTAATTTACTTCCTGATATGACTCAAAATACTTTCGTAGATTCATTATATATAAAAACTAACGATCAAATGTTAGTAGTGTACTTAGCCGCGCTTGTCAGGTCTATAATCGCTTTGCACAATCTTATAAATAATAAGTTGACGAACCGTGATGCCGAGAAAAAAGAAACGGATAAGAAAACAGACATAAAGAAAGAAGAAAAAAAAGAGGATGAGAAAAAAGATGAGAAAGAAAAAGCTAAAGCTAAGTGATGAATGATTGGGACTTGATTAATTAAGAAACTAAAGAGTTTTCACGACATCATCTTAAAGATAAATTACATTGGTCATTGTTGCATTTATATACATTAAATTGAATTTGAAAAATAAGTTAATAAATATTTTAAGTGTGAACCATGACCAATTGATGAGTCTAAAAAATAATAAATCTTAATTTGAACTAAGTCCTAGTTCTTTGTACATTTATAAATGTTCTTTTTTTTTAAACCGCGATTATCAACTCTTCGTCAACATTAAAGATAATTATAATAACAACAATGACTTATTATCGTTGGCGTTTTATTCATCCTAAAAAATTTAAAATAATTTAAACCATCAACCAATGAAGAAATAAAAATAATAATACTAAGCAATGTATTTTTTACTTCTATATTAATGACTCTCAGTGAGAATGAACTGCATTATTAATATAATAATAATAATAATAATTAATAAGTAATTATAACTCGCTTAAATTAATTATTAAAAAATTTTATTAATTTATATAAAATATTCTTAAATTATTTAAAACAGACTTTGGTATTACAGTCGATCCACTAGATTAATCATTATCTAATTACATTAATTCATTATTTGCACACCAATAAAAACATGAATGTAAAACAATTTATAAAATACGGTAAATACATTGTCATCGCGCTGCTGGTGTAGACTTCACCCATGTAAGGTTCTAAATTGGTATTGTTATAATTTTGATAATACCAATTGAAAGGATCATTTTCATCAAGAATTTTCAAACTATTTTTCGTGGACTTTTTAACTGGATCTACGTATGCTAATTTACCGCTTTCACTGGTGTCATTAGATAACTTTACTTTTCCAGCACGAGTGATGTTAGATGCGAAAGGAGCTTGAACTTTTTCAATAGTAGATCTTCCCAGTGGTTTCACAACAAATCCTGGACCTGATACTGTGCTCGCAGGAACTTGTCCACCTGGAACTAAGAATGCTGACAGTGCAGAGGGTTCAAGTGCACGAGAAGTCTGAGCTAACAGACGAGTTTTCAAAGTCGTTACTTCCACCGTATCAGTGGATGAATTTTCACTCGTCGCTGAAATAAAATCATTCAACATCATGTTAGACATAGGAGTGGTTCTTAGTGGTTTCGGAAGCGATGCCAAGTCCTCTGAATTCCAGAAAATGTCCTGATCACTTTCAGTCTGTTCATCTTTTTCAGTCGAAGTAAATAATGTTGTTAAATTTTCTTCCGTAGTGTGATTAATATTTGAAGCAGGAGTTGTCCACACTATTCGACTGGCTACTTTACCATCCAAGAAAACACTTTCTTCAGAATCTTCATCGAGTTCAATATTACTGTATCTTGTAGATGTTTTCACTGATGTCGAATCAGTTGTAGATGTTTTTACTAATGTAGAACCAGTTGTGTGAAATACCAATGGAATACTTTCTGTTGTATTGTCATTTTTTAGAGAACTTGATGGTTCTTTAGAGAAAGATGGTACTCTACGTGGGTTTGTAGCACTTGGTAATGCTGAAGTATCGCTTTTAATATTATAAACTTCATCATTTTTTTTACTACTACTGCTATTATTATTATTGTTACTATTATTATTTATCTTGCTGTTATTATTATTATTATTATTATTATTATTATTATTATTATTATTATTATTATTATTATTATTATCACTAATACTGACATTATTTTTTTTAACAGGAAAAACTCGAGTGATAGTCGCAGAGTGATTTATGGTATCATTTTTCTTTCTTTCAAGCATAATCAGCGGATTGACAATGGGTCGGAAACCTCTTTGAGGCTCTGGCAAAGGATTGAATCCTTTGTGCATTTCCGGTTCAATAGTTGGATATGTGCGGTATCTATTTCGAGGTCTTCCGTCTTCTTTTCGCTGGGATTTCTTTCCCGAGCTCCAGAGATTAAAGTTCAAATTCGGTAAAGGTACTCCGAAAAATGTAAAACCTGAGCTGCTCGGCGATGGAGGTAGTGGATTTTTTTTCTTGGTTAAATTTCCATTCGTTGGTTTCGACATTGATGTTGTCGTTTGAATTATTTTAATCGGGCCTGTTTTTATATTTGATAATGTTGGATGATTGTCATTACTTAATTTATTTGCTAAACTTTGAGTCATATTTTGTTCATTTTCTGGATAGTCATCGTAGTAATAGTCTGGATTCTGAGTTAATTTTGATGGGCTATGGGCATTCATCCAGGCTGGTGGAGGTTTTCCTTCTCCGTAATCTAAAACATTTTATTATTTATTGTAAATTTTGGTTTATAATAATTAAATTTTAATTAAAATAAATAAACTTACAAGAAGGTAGTAAAGATTGGTCAATAAATTCAGTTTCGCATCCGGGATGAATTGGCTCTACTTGCTTTTTTTTTAGACAGTCCTGTCTAGAGAGCCTCACTTCTCTGAAGAGTGAACCATCTGCACAACGTGGACCTTCTGACGACGATTGCTGTAGCCATCCTCTCAGCCAAATCATACCACAAGAACAAGACAGTGGATTTCCGTCTATATCCAAAACTGCTATGTTGGATCGAAGTCTTTTAAATACATTCTCGGATATTGATGACATTCGGTTACTTCTCATACTCAGTACTCTTAATCTCGGCATGTTGTCAAATGGTGAGCCTTGGATTCCACAAATACGGTTGTTATCCATCTGTAGTAAATAATTATTGCTTATATATAAATTATTTAAATTAAAAAAAAATAAATTTAAGTACTAACATTTTTAATAAAGATTGAGAAAACCCGGATTAAAAAAACGAATTAAGAAGTATTGGAAATAATGAAATTTGAATTACTTTCAATTATTCTAAATATTTTTAATACTTTTTAATTTTTTCTCTTATGGAAAATTTACATTCTTTTTGAATTTTTTTTTTTTTTGTAATTATTTACAAGTAGGGTCAACACCATTTTGGGCCATAACTAGGTGAAAAATTAACATTTTCAAATTTTTGTAAAAATAAAGATTTCAATAGCTTTTTTGCCTTTAAAAGTTGGAAAAAATTTTGGCTCTCATGTTTTTGGATAAAATTTCTATTTCATCTTTTTTTGATGTTTATGATAAATTTTTTTTTTTTTTAAAACTACATAAAAAAATGAACAACTAAAAAAAAAAAATTAATAAAAAAAAAAAATTTAACATGGACTAGCATGGGTTGACCCCACTTGTAAATAATTACCTTTTTTTTTCTAACGAGGAAACATAAAATAATTTTTTCAAATTTATGAACAATTTATATGATACACAACGAAATGTATCGTAATTTAAAATTAGTAATTATTAAAAGTTCTTTCTATCCAAATCAATTTTATAATAATAATATTTATATCATTTATTTGAAAAGATTTGTATATTAGTTAAGAAAAATAATAATTACTATAAAACACATGTTAATCTCCATAATTAACAATGCGCATCAAAATAATTGTTATTGCCCTAGCATAACAAGAAGATTACAAGATTAATTAAACAGAAACAGGGAAGCTTTACTTTCTTTGTGAAAGTGTCACTTTTTTTAATAAATATATGATATTAATTAAATGTTTTTCTTTAAAGTTATATCACTTTTTAATCTTTATAAGCTATTAATAATAATAATGATATAAACTTACTTTTAATTCAACTAACCACTCTAAAGTAGCAAGATTTTCACTCGACACACGAGTTAAACGATTGTGACTAAGATCGAGTACTTCAAGTGATCGTAAATTAGATATTCCTGCATGTTCCAAGCTCGGTAAAAGATTGTAGCTCAAATTTAAAAACAAAAGATTTGGCACATTTATGAATGCATTGATTGCAATCTCTTGAATTCGATTTTCTTGCATTTCAGCGCTCTGCAGCATCGGAAGATCGGTAAACGCTCCTGTTGGGATCATCTGAAACATCAGTAGTTAAAAAAATAGCGTCAATAATAAAATAACAGTTCCTAATCAATACAATGAGAGAAAAAATTATTTTATTTCTTAGCTGAAGAAATCAAAATTTTTCTCACAGTAACTTTTTTTATTAAAAAAAAGTTTTCTAGATTTGGGAAAATATTGTTTTTTTCCAAATCGACAAAACTTATTTGTGACAAAAAAGTTACTGTGAGAAAAATTTTGATTTCTTCAGTTAAGAAATAAAATTATTGAAAATTTCCAACAAATTAATTTGTTGTCACAAGGATGTCCATATTTTTCAAAGGGAATTTTTTCTCTCAGTGTAACAATGACTTTTATTACCTGAATACGATTTTTCCCGAGGCGAATAGCTTGAAGCTCGGGAAGATTCTTAATAGCATTTCTTTCGATAACTCTCAAATCATTATTCTCGAGATCGATAAAACTCAATCGCGGCAACCGATTGAAAGCTCCCTCACGTAACTCTTTTATTTTATTTCTCACGAGTTTTAACTCGAGAAGTGACGTTAGACTGCTCAGCGTGTCAGAAGATAATGCGGTCAATTTATTGAAACTCAAATCGAGAAATTCAAGTGAGGTGAGTCCGTGTAATGACCCAGGTAGCTCCGTTAATGTATTATAAGACATGTGAAGTTCCTTTAGATTTCTGAAATTATAAAAAATGATTCTATTTTTTTTTTTTTTTCTAAAGTGATATTTAATTAATTATAAGTGACTATTATTTCTAAACATTCATCGAAATCACAAGACCGTAATAATTATCGAATTAAACTTTCTCAACGACAATTAATAATTTTTTGAATTGCATAACTGAAAGTAGATTTTCATTAAAAATAAATACAAAAGACTATTATTTTTACTCAATTACATACTTATCATCATCAAAATCAAAACAATTATAATTAATCACATAAATTTAAAAAAATAGTAAATAAACATTATTATTACCGTGTGGAAGAAAATATCGTGTGAGGAATTTGAGCTAAATTATTTCTCGCCAAATCAATCAGCTGAAGCTCAACGTTGTCACCAAAGATATCAGGTCGTATAAGTTCCAATCTATTGCCCCTCAAATTTAAGTCCATCAGCATTCTAAGGGGTTTAAAACTTCTACCATGAAGAGACATAATACGGTTGTGTCTAAGATCCAACTGCTCGAGCCTGGCAAGTCGATCAAAGGTCCCTTCTTCAATCACTCTTATCGCATTGTAACCTAGCTTCAATTTCTTCAAATTAGGCAGCTCGCTCAAGGTCCCGGGTAAGACTCTTTCAATGCCATTGGCATTCAAATCTAGTGATCTTAGGGCCGGAAGTACCAAGTCTTGATTTTCTAATGCTGGCAACATGACGATGCGGTTCATCGGCAGATGAAGATGCTCTATGTTCTTCGGCAAACCTGGTACCACTTCGATAAGCCGATTCCAACCGATGTCCAGTTCGTATAAACTTGATAAGTGTCTCATTGTCATAGGATGGATTATAGAGATAGCATTGTGGGATAAGTTTAAATACTCCAGAGCTGGTACATTCAAAAAAGTCTCTGGTTCTATCATTCCTATTCCGTTGCCACTCAGATCGAGTCTACGTAAATTCGGCAAATTTTCGAAAAGTGCTGGTTCGACATGTCTGAAGTAGTTTTCAGATAAATCAAGTCCCTGTAAAAAAAATTTATTTATTATTATTCTATTGAAAAAAAAATCTACCTAAAAAATAGAATTTGTAATATATGAATGCTACACAGAAAAAAAAATTAACTTGAATCAAGACGAAAAATTCTTGAATCAAATAAAATTTACTTAAACCATCAAGAAAAATTTCTTAGTTTAAAAATTATTTTACTCAAATCAAGAAGATAAAGTTCTTCAAAATTATTTACTTGATTCAAATAAATTTTTTTTTTTCTGTGTATTTTTAATTTTTTAAACTATGAAATAAATTGAAAAAAATATCAAAAGTTGACAAATAATCGCTTGAAATAAATTCAATAGATTTAAGCTACTTTTTACGGCTGGAAAATTTTTTAAAGAAAAAGGCTCGAAATACATTAATTGAAAAATTTTTTTAATTTTCAAAATCACGGGATAAATTAAAAAAATCATAAAAATTAGACAAATAAACGGTTAAATTGAAGGTAATGATGTAAATTTTAAGATAAATTTAATAGACTTGATCTATCTTTTACATCTGAAAAATTATTTTCATAAAATTGACGAGATTCAAAATTTTTTGAAAATTAAAAAAATTTTCCAAGGTATTGATTTACAAAATAAGTCCACAAAATTTCATGAAGATCGGTTAAGAACTGTGGACGCAATTCTGTCGATATGGCGCGTTATGTCACATATAAGTACTCTGTATAAATAAACTTTTGAGCTAATGCTATTTTTCGGCATAACTCGATGAAATAAAACATACCGACTACAATAAGTAGATTTCTAAAAAAATGAACTTACTTTTAATCCAGGTAAATTCCAAAAGGGAGCCTCTAGAAGATTAGTCAGTGAATTATTTCTAAGCCTCAATTCTCTTAAGGCTGGCATTGCTGAAAATGTTTCTCGCTGCAAAAAAGTGAGTCTATTGTGATCAAGGTGAAGACGCTCGAGAGTTGGATGGCCTCTCAGAGTACCGAATGGAATCTCTTCAAATTGATTGTAAGAAGCATCTAGAAACTTCAATCGAGGCAAAGCTTCTAGGATAGCACGAAGTTCGTTTACATGATTCAATCGATTGCCCATTACCCATAGCTCCTCTAAAGTACTACCAGTGCGTTGGATGAAAAAATCTGGATGTACTCTGCTAATCAGATTGTAGTTCAAATCCAATACACGTAAAACTGGTAGCATCTGAAAAGCTCCGGGAAATATTTCAGTTATGAAATTTCCGGTGAGATAGAGTCTGCTCAATGATGGTAAATTTATAAACGCTTCCTCTTGTAACCGCGTTATTTTATTGCTGTTTAGACGAATCACTGACAATACTGGTAGGTCTATCATAGCGCGACCGACTATTGCAGCATCGGGAATCTTGTTGTCTTCGAATGATATTTCCCTCAATTCTGGAAGATCAACAAATGTACGTGGATGAATCCAAACAATTCCACAGCTGGTTATATTTATCAGCGCCAATTTTGGCAAGTTTTTAAACAGCCCAGCTTCCAAGCGCATCAATTTCGGGCTACCAAATACATGTAGTTGCTCTAAATTTGGTAAATCGCGGAAATTCATCGGCGACAACTCGAGTAAGGTTAGTGAATTTACTTGAAGGTAACGAAGTTTTGTTAAACTTGATAATCTCGGCAAACGTTTCATTGATCTACTTTGCAGGGTAATTGCTTCAAGACCCATGAGATTGTCTAAACTGTCAATGGGTAATGACCGCAATTCCGGCTCGACGATAAATAATTCTAGCAGAGAATCGTGCAAACCGTCTAACCACCCTGAAGACACTCGCTCCAAATGATTGTTCCGTAACATTAGGCGCAACACCCGTAGATTTGTGAATACTTTTCCAGGTAAACTTGGTAAATTATTATTTTCGAGGATCAACTCGTCCACTGGATGACTTATATATTGACTTACTGCTTTTAAGCCTTCAAGTACTTTTGGTAATTCACTGTGGCTACACCTGAAAAGAATCAATTTTTTTTTTTTCATTAATTAAACATTTTGCTTTTGTTAATAATTATTAATTGCGCAGTATTAATATTATCGTTTAGAGTAAATTCATTCATTTATTCTTTATAATCGAAAGATATTATTTAGTACAAATTCTTGTACAAAACTTTATTGATAATTAAATATTAATATTTAACTAATAAAAAAAACAACATAATTAATTGTCTATTAAAAAATAAAGAATAATTATAGCAATAAAGTTATAAAATAATTTTTTTTTTTTTTTTTTTTAATTATTTATTTAAGGTCGCCTTGTAACTTCAAGGTCATTGACGACCACACAAAAAATAATATTATAAAAAATCAAAATGAGCTAATTCTAGAAATGAGTACTTAAGAAAATGATTTTAATGAGCTTTAATAATTATTTTTGAAAGAGAAAATAATTTAAAAAGTCGAAATTAATTATTTAGTATCACTTTTGTAAAAAATTCATGTATTGAATAAATGAAATAATTTATAGATAAATTGCAAAATTTATCTCATTTATGGTGTATTATTAGGGTGTGCCAAAATGCAACTTCCTTGATGGACCTCTTAAAATTGGAATTTTGAGTTCCGCTTTTTAACAGGTTGCTGGAATTTAAAAATTTCAAAATTTAGCCGAACAAAACTCCTGTTAAAAAATTCTATAAAAATGAAATAAATCTTTTACGCCCAAAACTTGTCAGGAAATGCCTAAACACAACTCCTGTTAAAAGCGGAACTCAAAATTCCAATTTTAAGAGGTCCATCAAAGAAGTTACATTCTGGCACACCCTAATGTATTATTAGAAAAATTATCAAGATTGAAAAATTATTAAGAAATATTGAATAAAATGAAATTTTATTAAATCTTGTAAAAATAAAAATTACCATATTTGATATTCCATATCCCTCATAGAACATCTGCATGGTAAAATTTTCTCTTGCGATGGGCACCCATAATCATCTTGGCAATCAACAAGTTTAACAATAAAAATCAACAAAAATAGCAGGCATACGCCTTGTCGCCCTTCCGACGTTGTTCCCATTTTGACAAAAATTAAATAGTCACTTTTTCATCATCTCTCGTGCCTCTGAAAAATAAATGGATAATTATAGTTATAAAATTCAAAAGAAAACAAAAAAAAACAAGTACAAACAGTGTTTAAAGACGTATGGATCGTTGAAGATGTCGAAACAGTAAACAGTCGGTGAAGAATTTGGCAATATTTTAAACGAAGGTATTTAAGGTCGTATGTACTTGTTCTTTTCACTAAACTGGTGCCTTTAATTGAGGTATGTTTCATAAGTACAAGTAACACGTGCTGGGATATTTAAATAACATGATGGTGTCAAAACGTATTTATATTATTGTATGTCTTTAATATCCCAGATGCAGGAAATAGTGGGCTACACTACGAAAGAGGATAAAAATGTTTAAAGTCATGGTACTCCATTCTTAACACGTCGACGTCACGGTCGCAGAAGGATAAAATTGATCCTCGGACCGCAAGTAAGCCAAAGACCGCTATGACAATCATTCGCCGTTAATAATTACTTCTAACTTAACAGAGGACACAAATGCACATTTATGTACGTATATGCTTTTTAACGTATTTACGATGCTAGTATTGATGTTCTTAGATATATCTTCGTACGCTAAATCAGTAAATTGCCAGCTAATTTGTTTTTAAACAATTAAGCTAATGACAATGACTTTTTCCGAAATAATTACTTATGCAATAACAATAATTAATGCATCATTTGGAAAGTATTTTGTGTAACAAATTAAAATAATAAATGATAATTTTTTATTTTTTTGATGATTGATAGATTTTGAGATGAAGAGTAAGGAAAGTATGGCTAACAATATACCTTTGAATTGTTTCGCATAAAGTGAAAGTGATTCGGACTTCCTGCATATTTTTCCAGATCTCAACACAAGTCCGAGGATATTTATCGTGATTTAAATCTGGCTATTATCGTTATGCAACGTTGCATTAAGGTCGTGCACCTTCCAGACAATTTGCAAGAACGAACTTTTGTTAATATACGTACAGACCAGACAATAACATACTGTCCGGCCCAAAAATTTCATAACTTTAATTGGGGTCAGTTTTAAAAGATGCCAATTAACGAACGGTAAAAGAAACAATCACTTCACAGTCGGAAGATTACAAAAATATTTTTTTAGATTGATTATTAAATAAATAAGCTATGGGGATGAAAAATTTTAAATTGATAAATTAATTGTGACTTACCTACAGTTCAAAAAATGACAACAGCAACAGTTTTTTCTTACTCTAGTAAGAGGGAAGAGTAAATTCTGCGATGTTGTGTTGATTATTTACAATATAAAATAAGGTAAGAAATCAAACTGGCTATTGTAGATTTAAAAAAATAATCACTGATTTTTAATTTAAACAACAAACTAAGTAAGTTCTTTCCGTTGCACGTTACAGATATAAACTAAGTACCGAGTAAGGATAACAAGTGTTCGGAGCACACGCGGTTCAAGTATCTATGGATGGGGAAATGGAAAGAAGAAAAGACACGGCTGGGGGAATCCCCGGTAATTCCCGCCAAAGTTGAACCGACCAAATTCTTACATACATAGTGTACAGACGAACAAAAGAGAGGGGGGAAATGGAAGAAAAAATACCATTGCGAAGTGGGTGTTCAACTACCGTGAAGACACGCTTAATATTATATATCTTTTTCCTTTCTCCAAGGTATCATCACGGGCGCGAAAATTGTCGCTTGTTAAACTAACGACACTTATGTTGCTTTCTTTTGATGTTATAATTTATAGTGATATCGATTTCTTGTATTGGCGGCGGAAAAGTTTGATGTTTGATTTAAGAAGTTGTTAATTAATTGACTAATAATGGACTGGAAGAATCTAGTTTAATTAGGTTGTAACGCATGTACGTTCCAACCTACATGCCATTCGAGTCTTCGTGTCTTGTTATTTCGTTTTTTTTTTATTTTCCTGCTCTGAACATTGATTTGTTTATAAAAAAAATTTAATATTGTAATTAATTTATAATAGTATTTATAGAAAACAAATCAGAGTGGTCTGGATTAATTTGCCAGAAAAAATGAAGTATAAGTATAAACTGCGACAATAAGGATACACAAAAAAAAAAATTAACTTGAATCAAGTAAATAATTTTGAAGAACTTCATCTTCTTGATTTGAGCAGAAAAATTTTTCTTGGCTTAAGTAAATTTTATTTGATTCAAGAATTTTTCATATTGATCCAAAACAATGAAACTCTTCAATATTATTTTTTTGGTTCAAGAATTTTCGTCTTGATTCAAGTTAATTTTTTTTTCTGTGTAGGTTTTAATTTTTTTATCGATCACTACATCTTATTGTCTTATTTGTTTTCATTTAAGCTAATAATTGCAAAATTTTATCTATGATCCAGATTATAAGCGAAATGGAAAAAAAGACAACAATAAGGAGCATGAAGAAAAAAAAAATTTATTCCTTATATAGAAGAAGGAAAATTATATCTAATAGTTATGCTCGGAAATATCGATAATTATTAATTTTGAAGAAAAATTATTATTCGTCAGAAAACTTAACAATTTTTTTTTCCATTTGAGTAAATTATCGAAGTATTATCATACTTAAATTGATTATAAATTTAGCTTTAAATATTACATAAAAATAAATCTTCAGAATGGGGAACATCCTCCACCGCGATATCACTCCCGAACCAATTTCTCACTTGCCCTTTTTTCAGGGCAAAATATGAAAAGAATTCACAAGTTGTGGATGAGTAACTTCAAATGATCAAATGTTTCATTGTAAGAATGGATGTTATGAACAAAACAAATAAATATCAATTGTAACAGGATAAAATATATCTACACTACAAAAATAAAAAAAAATACAAAGTCAAGACTATCGTGAATTTAGTAAAAAAGTAATAAATTTACTACCCCAGTGATTATTTAATTAATATTATCACCGCAGAACTTTGGCAGATATTGTCAGAACAATATAAGAATATAACAATAAGAAAAATTTTCAGAGTTATTTTTTCAGTGACCCGCGTATATATTTAAATTATAATTTATTCAGCCTATTTGGTCACAATGACTAGTGAATCTTATTCAAGCCAACAGATGGACATTCCATCTTCCCTTTATTGTTTTATTCTCTTCATCACGTTAGTTCAATGGGAATCCATTAAACTTGAATACTAGTAAAGCTGGAAGCTTGTGGTATCTGTTCGAGTTTTAAAGATGTTAATTAAGTGAAAGATAGTGAAAGAAATTTTAATGAAAGCAAAGATCGAACCTGGATCTTCCAGATAACATGTCAGGAGCTCTACCAGGGAGCGCCAGGTTATCAGGGAGATCCAGGTTCGATTCCTGGCTTGGCAACCAACCCCATTTATTTTTTCAAAGTTCATCTTTGCTCTCATTCAAAAATGTTAAAATTATTTATGTTTCTGTATATATATATATATATATATATATATATATATAGGAGACTTTCTATAGATATAGATAGATAGTCACTCATCACGATATCTCTGGAACTATAAGACCTAGAGACTTGAAATTTGGCAGGGATATTACTTTTACCATGTAGAGGTCAGCTAAGAACAACAATGAAAAATTCCCATTTTTAAACTATACCTTCTATCGACTCCAAATTTGGTAGGAATCTTTTGTAAGAGATGTAGAAATAATCTATGAACGAATTTTACGATATCTCACCCCCATAAGGGGTTGCGGGGGTGGGTATTAATAATGAAAATTTTTAATTTTCAAGCTATAGCTCCTACAGATTCGGAATTTTATATGAAATTTCTGTACGTGATGTAAAAATAATTTATAAACGAATTTTACGATATCCTACCCCAAAGAGGATTGCGGGGGCGTTAATAATAAATAATTCCCGTTTTCAAACTATAGCTCCAATAGACTCCAAATTGGGTAGGAATTTTCTGTAAGAGATGTAGAAATAATATAGGAACGAATTTTACGATAGCTCACCTTACAGGGTTTTGCGGGGATGGGTATTAACAATTAAAATTTTTAATTTCCAAGCTATAGCTCCTATAGACTTCAAATTTAGTAGGAATATTCTATGTGTGATATAGAAATGATCTAAAAACGGATTTTACAACGAATCACCTCCAATAAGGATCGCGGGAGTGGGTGTTGACGATAAAAAATGTTCATTTCCAAAATATAGCTTCTGAAAACTCGAAATTTGGTAGAAATCTTTTATTTCTCCTGTAAAGATCATCTCAAAATGAATTTCAATAAAGTTTACTTCCGATAGAAATTGCGGGGGTGGGTGTTAAAATCTAAAATTTCAATTTCCAAACTGTAACTTCGACAGACTTCAAATTTGGTGGGAATTTATCAAATTCCAACCCCAAAAGGGACTGCGGAGGCGTTAACAATGAAAATCTCTCTTTTCAAAACAATAGTTTCCATGGGCTCGAAGTTTTGTTGGAATATTTTATTTATTATGTAAAAATCATCTCGAATAGGATCTTACGAAATTTCTCTCTCACATAGGAGTGCGGGAGTGATAGTTGTCAAAAAATTCATATTCTTCAAATATATTTTCTACAGATATAAAATTTCATAGAATCTCAAGAGAAACAGATAATTACAGGGATGGCCTCCAAGGTCAACGGATTAAAAGATTTTCCTTTTTTATTGATAATTATATTTTCTTACAACAATCGTCTCTTTGGCAGCGGCGAAAAAGTCATTGTAAGATTTCTAAAATTCAACTTTACATGTAGCTATATAGTCAACGGACTGAGTATTTTGCATACATTTTATTATTGCTGATCACATAACCGATGAATTGTTCTTATTACGGGATCGCGGGAATGTAACAGATTAAAATGAATACATTTTCTAAACACTTGAGATAGGGAAAAGAAATTTGGCTACTCATTTTAAGAGATTTCGTAAAATCAACTCTTGAAATCGTAAATCCAAAATTATTATTTATTTTTGGAGAAAGCCACGGGAATTTTATAGTGATTGCACATTGTAAGTTACAATGGATATTCGCTAGAATGATGACATGGATAAAAGGTACATCTTTGGAATCTGTGCAAGTCAAAACAATACTTCAATTGAATTTCAAGTCTAGATCTCAAAATTCAATTCTATAGTGCCCAGCGGAACGGGCGGGTAACAGCTAGTTATTAATAATTTAATAAAAGCTGATTCTTTTAGAATATCGACATATTACTAACACAGAATATCTATATATTCAATGTAGTATTTATCTTGAATGTCTAGGAACCGTCTTAGACTTAAAGTATACTATATATACAAAAGAAAGTAGTCGACGAATCAGGTTCGACCGGTTGGGACGAGCCTCTTTTTGTATTTACAGTCTTATCTGTTATAGTTCAGTAGAAAATAAAATAATAGTTTATATTACACCACAATTATGACATCATGAAGTAGCATCAAGGCTATTGATTCTAAGAAAATATATTGCGTATTAAATGGTAATACTCATAAACAATATTTTATTATTTCTATTTACTCCGGCAGCCTGTCAAGATAAATAAGTTTTTGTGATTTTATAGATAATAAACTACACGTAATTAACATCCGCCGCGTAAAATAACAAGATCAATTAATAAACTAATGGAATCATGAATCAACTACTGGTTATTTAAATAATTAAAAAAAAAACAGTTTATTAATGAAAAAAACTGTTTCTTTATTGATAAATATTTTCAAATAGTCATGCATTTTGACTAATTTTTACTCTTATTTTTGAATAGATTATATTTTTCTGCCAACAAACTAGGTAACAAATTATTTCTTAGTAAATGAATCTTTATAAATATTCTCTAGTAGTAATAAATTATTGCATCGGTACTTTTTTTTATAATTTACATGTCTGGACTAAAACAGGTATAAACCAAAGATCTGCCATTCGATGTTGCCCTCTCTCCATCGAAACTGGTTTTCCAAATTCCTATCTAATAAGAGTACCGTACGATCATATCATATTGTATTAAACTGAGCTGTACCTGGAGTGAGCAGTAGTTGCTAGACCGTAAACCGATCAACAATCAATACTGTAGAATAATTTATCTCCATTTTGTCGTCTCTTTTAGCAAACCGTTATTCATTGAACTGTAAAAACTAAAGATCCATCAATCCTCCAAAAATCTTTTTTTAATCAACAATGTTTAGTAGAAAATTTCTGAGATTAAAATCTCAGATCAATATTTCTTTACGCGGAATTAAAACAAGTGAAGTTTTTAAAAAGGACATTAGGAGTTCTGATAAACCGCCACGAATTTTAATAACAGGTAAAAAGATTATTATTATTATTTATAGATTAAATTAAAATAATAATTTTATAATTTCAGGTGGATTAGGACAATTAGGAACAGAATGCGCAAAACTACTACGCAAAAATTATGGCAACGAAAATGTTATCCTATCAGACATAATAAAACCCTCAAATGAATCTTTATCAAACGGGCCATTTATTTTCGCAGATATTTTAGATTTCAAAGGGTTGCAGAAAATAGTCGTCAATCATCAAATCGATTGGCTAATACATTTCAGCGCACTGCTAAGTGCTGTTGGGGAGCAAAATGTTCCATTAGCTGTGCGTGTCAATATTGAAGGTAAGAAAAACTTTGTTTTTTCCTTATTATTATAATTTTTTGAATATGTATTATTAATAGCATGATTTGCATAAAATTTTAATTATCTCTATTTTATTATCATCAAAGTCAAAAGTAACTTGAAAAAAAAAAAAAAATAATAAAATTAGCTTGTTGTTTAGAAAGTCAAAGTGAAAGTTAAATAACAAAGATGATTTCGAGCGCGTTGGAGTGTAATTTTGTGACGGAAACTTTTATTATAATTCATTAACTTGCTTTCTTAAATTAAAAAGAAAATACAAATATCATGACTTTTATTTTTCAATATAAATATAAATATTTACTACCACACAGGGATGCACAATGTGATGGAGTTGGCTAAACAGTATAACTTAAAAATATTTGTACCCTCAACAATCGGAGCTTTTGGTCCTGACTCGCCACGTAATCCTACGCCTAACACGACTGTGCAACGACCAAGAACAATTTATGGTGTCAGTAAAGTACACGCTGAACTTCTTGGTGAATATTACCATCACAGATTTGGCCTTGATTTTCGCTGCTTGAGATTCCCAGGTGTAATTAGCAGTGACCCTCCTGGCGGTGGTACTACAGGTAAAAAAATAAAGTTAGAAAAATTTTACTTTAAAAAAGAATTATTGTGCAAAAATAAATAACTAAGACATAAATCTAAACAGTAATAGCAATAGCGGTTTTGTTGGTACAATTGCATAATGAGGTAATCAATCTTGAAATTTGAGAGCTTGCAAGCGTGAGATTGTCTTGTTTACTCTACGATCCATGAACTATTTTCTAGATTAAAGTAACAGAATAAATTATTCATTTAAATGCATTTGCTTCACATACTACATGTTAAATTACTTTTTGCATCTGACAAGAATTCTACTTTTTTTTTTATTTAAAAATTTTGATATGAAAATTAAATTAATAGACATTTGACAGTATTATTTTTCTTATTAAAAAAATTATTACAACAAAATAAAAAGAAAATTCCACATCTAGAAAATTTGAAAAGTTATAAGTGCAATTTTTTAAAAATATTTTTTTAGTTCTAATTTAATTAATGAAAAAATTAAAAAATTTTTAATCGCTTGCTAATTTCAATACTATATTTTTGATTGATAAGATTAAAGATTAATTATTTTTTTTTTTTTTTTTTTTTCAGATTATGCAGTTGCAGTTTTCCATGAAGGGTTGATGACTAAAAGATATGAATGCTACTTAGAACCTTATACGAAATTACCTATGATGTATATTGACGATTGCTTGAACTCTTTGTTCCAATTCCTCAACGTTCCTGATGAGATGCTGAAAAAGCGAACTTATAATGTAACTGCAATGAGTTTTACACCGGAGGAGTTATTTAATGAACTACGTAAACATATTCCTGATCTTCAAATTTCATATAAACCAGATTCACGGCAATTGATAGGTATTTATTTTATTTAATAATTAAATCACTATAAAATTTTTTCTTTCTTTTTTTTTTAAATATAAATTGAATATTGATGATTTGAAGTAAAAATAAGCGATTTTTAATTTTTTTTTTTATAAAAAATATCTAATTTTTCAAGAATATAAAACTGTAAAGACTTAAAAAAAAAACTAAAGAGACATTTGTTGCAAACTTTTTGCACGCGTTGAGATTGTCAATAATTGTTACAAGAGACTTAGTTGAAGGTTACAAAAATATATTAAAGTTTATACTAAAATTTTTTTAACTATTACACGACCTTGAAGTATTTTTTCGCAATAGCTTAAGCCGGAAATATCACAAAAGATATGGACATTTTTAGCTCCAAGGGCATGTATCTAGCTTTCTCGAATCAAAAAATCGCTAGTTAGAAAGTTGATTTCAAAATTTAGACAGAATTAACCAGATACTTTTTATCAAATAAAATATATTTTTTTCCGTTTATTTTAAACTCAAATTACTTCATGAGATTCAAAGTAAAATTTTAAACTATAAAAATAATTTAATAAAAAATGTTTTTTATTCACAGCTGAATCATGGCCGCAAGTATTTGATGACTCGGAAGCTCGTAATGATTGGGGATGGTCGCATAAATATGATTTAAAGAGGCTCGTTTCAACAATGATCCAAGATGTTAGTGAGAATTTTGCGCCTAAATATCAAAGACTCAAGGAAGTTAACAGCTACGCATAATTCGAGAAGAAATCAATTCACTTGACTTTTTGCAGTTAATAAAAGTAAAAATTTGCATAAAAAATTTTAATTAATATAAAATTCATAATATAGATCAAAATCATTTTAGCAATGATAATTATAAATTTATTATAATTTTGTAATTATACATGTTTAAAATAATAAAGTTTTTTTTTTTTTATTTTAAATACGAGCTCCCGTGACTTTAAGGAATTTATGATATTAAATTTATTAATTTAAGTAAAGGTAATTAATGAGCTAAAACGGGTCACTGGCCCTTCTCGAACTCTCTCGTAGCAATGTTTGTTGATAAATTAATTTTATTTAACATAATTTTTGATTTTCTTGAAAAACAAACTAGTTTATTTAAAAGATTTCAAAATTAATTACTATCAGTTTGAATAGTAATCTACGCTGTTAGATGGCACAACTTGTCTATTCTTTGAATGGCATTAAATATAAACTAGATTCTTCAATTTTTAATGAAAAAATTAAAATAAAATCTAAGGCAATTTAAAATAGTGAAATAAATCAATTTGTAATAATCAATTGATAGAAAAATAAAATAAAAAGAAAATTATTGTATATGTTTCATATATTTGTTTTTTTTTTATGTTTCACATACGTCCACTTATTAACTACCTAGTTATTTACATCATTTGTTTTATCGTTCTATAACTTTAAGACATTAAATTTAATTAAATGAAGTTAAATATTTGTATGATACACATTTATATCTTCAACGACAAAAGCATTGTTATAATAATATTCAGCCGTATACTCCAACAATTTGGAGTAAAAAAATAATATTAATTATAACAATAATAATAGTACTGATGAAAGTAATGATAATAATATTATTAATAATAATAATGAAGAGGAAGGGTAGTTTTTTTACAGTTACAGACTTCATTGAAGATTACATACAATTGTTCTTAAATATCAACTAAAAATCAATTAAGAGTTCTACGAATAGTAAAAAAACAAAGAAAAAAATTTAATATTCTGAAATTTATGAAAAATATTTTCCATACTTGAAAAATTTTTTCTCAAAATAATTGACATCATATATCAGTTAAATATTATTAAATATACATACAATGATTTAAAATAACAAATTTATGGCATAAAAATGAATGAATATTTTATGTAAGATTTGATTTTATCACTTGGGAGCCCTTAAGCAATAATTTATTAAATGTTTATCTCATTTAAAGTATCTAATCTTTAAGTTATTTTTCTTCTGCAATCACGATGTGTACACAGACTTTAATCTGGAACACGCCTGGCATTTTTACCCGAAGGTACGGAAGAATGGATTTGCGTTCAGTAAATGTAATAATTTAGAAAAAAAAAAACAAATAAAAATAACAAATGAACATTGATTTTACTGTACAATCAGGTGTGAATGCACAACTTTAACTACGAATGCTATTTAACAAGAAAAAAGCATACGCATGAATAATTTATCTATAGCGAAAAAAAAATCAACAGAAATAAAAATTATTTTATCAAGGATTTAACCAAAGAAACAATAATGAAATTAAAAAAAAAAAAAGAATTAACAGAAAAATCTAAAATGACAATAATTATAGATGATTATCGTAAAATGTACGCAATTATTGGAATATAATATTCACGAAATCAGTCTTGAGAACGATTGGTCTGGTTGTCAGGAACGATCTGATCGTGGTTAGACATTTTACCGGTGATATGCGAAGAACTTAACAATGGTTTCGATAACCACGGATGCCTCAGTAAATCCGGTGCGTCTGGCCTTTCTGAAGGTTCTCGCCTCAATATAGCTTGGATCAGGCACCGTGCACGTGCGCTAAATAGATCTGGTACGCTGAACAGTCCTCTTGATATTTTAGCAAAAAGCGACGCATGCTCTGCATCATTGAATGGATAACGACCAACTAACATTGTGTAGAGTAATACACCCAGTGACCAGATATCCGCAGCTTTGCCTGAGTAAGCTCGTCCTGAGCGTAGAACTTCTGGCGCTACATAAGCTGGACATCCGCGGCGATCTGTTAATTTGTCATCATCGTCATCAACAATCACTGCGTCCTCCAAGCTTTCCAGCCGTAATCGTGTCCTGAAAATAATTAAAATAACATTAATAATCGAGTTAAATTAATATAAATAGATGAAATTAAACAAAAAATAAAACGAGAATGATTGTAAGCCCGTGGGTTATCTCCGTGACTTGATGTCAGAGTATTGCAAAGCACAAAAGAGAGATACGCGTACCGTTTACTCAACACGACAGCTAAGCAAGTAAGCAAGCAATACAAGTCTTGTCTCTATACATACATAGTTTACGTTAGCCGCGTGACTGTAAGACATTCAATTTAGCAAGAGTCTTTGACGATTGAGACATCGGCATAAACGTAGCATTGGTAAACCGTTGGTGGATAAGAGTTGTAGACGAAAGACAGTAACAACCAACAACGAGGCTTTATGGCTAACACTCTGTGTTACTGGTTTGTTAAGTGTAAGTTACGTTGGTTAATGTATAATAGTATAATATAATATAATATAATAAGTAATGGTAGCGAAAGCCTGATGCTAGAGGGTTTAATACCTCAAGGCACCTCAATCAAGTCTTTGCTTATAATAATACTGTCTCACTTAACTTATATTGAGATTTATACCTAATGTCAATTTATTTATTTGTATATATTTATATTCATGTGAATATGCACATACAAGTAATACGGAAGTATATAAGAGTAAAGTAAGTATAAAAGTAATGTGAGAGTACGCGTAATATAGCCTCGAGTGTATGTATGATTGGGTAATAACAAGAGCTTGGCCCATCGCCGATTACCACACGTTTTTGATTTGGTCCTCACGACTTTTATGCCGTGACTTTGTTGGTACACGTGCATATAAATATATTTTCTCTGTATGTGTCTTTCAATATATGTATTTATATGTGTTTAACTTAAATGCCTTGTTATTCACAAGATCGATTGATATTTCAGGTCGTGGCACATAATAACACACGCCTTTACTCACGCATGTAGGTGATACGAAGAAAAATTAAAATGTGTCCGGTTAGCCATATAATAATAGAATAAAATAGAAAATAAAAAAACAAGAATCAAGAAATTGAGAGCGAGAGAGCGTTTGGGAGAGAGAGAGAGAAATAGAAAGAGGAAAAGGAAAAGAGGTGGGTCGTTGACATCTGCTTTCTTCGCAAACTTTCACTCCCGGTTATTTTAACGGGTTCAAGAACCTTTAATAAAAATTCAAGCGCAAGTCTTGTTGAGATCAACGGCTCTTGTGAAATACCCGCGTGATGACCAATCGCTGTCGATTGGGAACTCAACTAACGAACGACGAGAATGTCGAGAGAATTAGGAATAGAAAGAGTACGTAAAGGAGGACATCAACAAGGCTACATTTTAATTATAGACATTTATTCAGTAATATTTATGTAATTATTGTTTTAATTACTTCTTAATATTTAACTCTTGTTTTTATTTTTATTTCTGTAAATTGGATATCTCTATTTGTTTAATTGTTAATAATTGGGCTTTTTTCCAACTATTACTTAATGACAGATGTTAGTGCAATCAAACATAACATAAAAAATAATGGTAGTCTAAAAGAAGCCTAATTACGGATAATTAGATAAATAAATTGTACCGATCTAAAAAAAACAGTTACCAGATATCTCAATTAGCACCAGAACAATAGAGAAAAAAATTATTTTTTTTTTTATCCCTGAAAACAGGCAGAGTTGCAAGTTTCTGTAGGTATATATCACTACGAATAAAATAAATGGATGAATAATAAAATTGAATAACTCGTTTAAAATAAATAAAAAAAAAAAAAAAAAAAAGTAAAGAAAGTTAATTTTTAGTGAAAGACAACCAAAGTCGGATACAGAGCGTTGTTGGACACTGTGCTAAATCCGGGCGTCTGAGTTCGACGCCCGATGTATCCGCGTGGCGCTTTGAAAGTACGAGGTATGCGTTTAAGTCGTGAGCATACTCAAAGATGCCTTTATAGTTAAGTAAGAGTAAGAGAAATTTAAAATGATAAACAAAGCAAGCTCTTGAAAAGTCGTGAACACTAACTAAAGTAAAAACTGATATGATAAGAAAAACTGAATATTATGGAGGATAAATTAGATTGTGGTAAAAATAAAAATGAGAAAGAGAGAGAAATAAAGAGGGAAAGGAACCCTCGGGCTAGCAGGGCACGGCCAGTAAAACAGCCACACGTTTGTTAATTATATATACGAAGGTGGTTTCAAAACCCTCCAGTCGATGAACCAATATGCTTTTCTGACTTGCAACACGTGCCCCTTCCTTCTTCTCGTCTCTTACATTATTACATTTAATATATTTTCGCTCTTTTGCTCCCACTCATCCGTCTCTCGTTCAATATCACCATCTCTATTAAACGTTTCGTTATAATTCTATCTATATCTCTCATGCACGTACATACGTCGTTTTCTTCCTCTCTGCTCATTCCTTTTATTCATGCTCCATTCTGTTCGTTCATGTGCAAGAGCCGGCATCACCAGCAGCAGCAGCAGCAGCAGCAGCAACAGCAACAGCATATGCAACGCGCCCGGGCTCCGTGTATTATATACTCAAGCCGCAAGAATGCGAGCGGCACGATTGGCCAACAGAAATGCATGCGAGCCGGTTCCCGGGCTTGGCCTGTGGCAGCGGCTTTGTACATCTACGATGACAACTATCGCGAAGAACCTTATGTATGTATGTATGTATGTATGTATGTATGTATGTGTATGAGTGTAGGCTTTAAGTTATGCTACGCTATGTGCCTATATGCCTGGCCGCCTGCTTCAATCCACCTAGACTTTAGAGTTCAATTACACACACCCAACAGCGCCTGCCTTGCTCTTCAACCTTGTCACGGATTTTCCCATGACCAAGACAGACTAGTCAGTGACTAGAGACAAGTATTCTCTTCCCGTTATATTATGTTCGTCGAAATTTTTTTTCATTCTCGTTTTATTTTATTTTATTCAATCATTATTGTTAATTTTTTTTTTTTTTATTTATCCCCACCTGGAATTAAAAATGAAATCATTAAATCAGAATAAAAAATGAAATTTACCTCGCTTCATCAGCAAAGACGAATTTCCTGAGTTTGAGATCCCTGAGCACGACACCATTCTCGTGGCACGTAGCAACAGCCTTGGCGACTTGCCTAAAAAGCCGTCTCGCCTCAGGCTCGCGTAGTCGCCGTCTTGCCCTGACATATGCATGGAGATCACCGTGATGACCCTCTAGCAGTAAATATTTTTTATCACGACCGGCATCGACTATCCCAGCGACAGCACTTGCCGCTCCTGTGCCTTCCAGTCTCATGTGAGCTTGCAAAAGTGCCTCGCCACCTTTGTCACTTGCCGTGAGTTGCTAGAAAAATTATAAAATAACAATTCAATAAATCACCTTGTTAGTTATTAATTAACAATTGCTAAACATGCCAAGGTAACTTAATTATTAAGGTCCTTTTTTGTGTCAAACGAAATACGTAATACATAAATATAGTATACACTGAGAACTATAGAAGAATATAAATATGAGTAACCGGTTTGTAATGTAATTAAATGGATAATTAGACTTTGACTTTGAAATTCAATTGTCAAAGATTATAATGATGGTGATGATGATGACGATTATGATGTTGTCGTGGAACGGATCTGGGGCTTACGAAAGCATCCAGAGAGGACGTAATCGTCAATTGAATTCAACGCCCCTGGTTGCGAGTGTACGATTATGAATAAAATGAATATATACATCTCTTATATATACACACGTATTAAAAGAGACGTGTTATAATATACACAGTCCTTGTGTTTGCTCGCGCGGGATGCTGATGTAACTTTCATTGTATAACGCGCGTTGATTGTAAAACGTTAATGACGACGTTAAACTGTGTAAGAATAGTATCTACCATGAACATGAGAATACATTTGCAATAAAAATTTAATCATTATTATTATCATCATCATCTTCTTCTTCTTTACTGTTATTAAAAATCATTTATACTATAACAAAATAATAGGATAGAAATAATAATGACAATAATAAATAAATGTTTACCTTGGCAACGAGTTGCTGACCAGTTTGAATATCAACACACCGGTAAAGAGCACTGCCCTCAGCCGGTCCGACAAGTAAAAATCTGTCACCAAGTATCGTGGGACCATGCTGAGTCGTCGGTACAAATTCACAGCTTGGAAATACAACTGGGGACACCGGTGCCGGCTCTTGGTTATCATTACAATTCGGCTGATTGACTTCTTGATGTCCATTTGGATTAACCAGGAACTTGCCATTGTTGATTCGCGTCACTGTTAAATTCAGCGGATGCTGACGATTGGCCAATCTCATATTGCGCGAGCACACGGATTTTATCCTCCGTTTTTAGGCACACACACACACGCACACACTTAGAATCCAACAAATGGACCTCTTCTTAGACACTGAATTACACTCTTGTATATTAAAATAACAAACAATCCTTTCTTGTCTATGTCCCACCGTAATTACCGTTTGCTACAACACCACTGAGACAAGTAGTAAGTTGCAATGGCTTACAACAACGATGACCTTCGTTAAATTGGAACACTTTGCTGGTGTTTATTATTATTTTTCTTCTACTCAGTTTTTTTATTCTCTCTTAATTGTTAATTCGTTATTATTAACTCTGTTTGTAATATTCTATCTTTATTACAAACCGACCAACCAGTTGCGTATCAGTATTCACTCATTATACAAACATTTATATGAATGTTAATTATTTTTACACTTTGCGTAAAACTTAACAACCACGTGTTTATTATCGATTGTGTGGTCGTATAATTATTTACCGAAGCGCTGCTTTCATTATATATTCTTCAGGTAACTGCAGTAACAAGTTATAATTTTATTTTATTACTAACATTACTCCTATTATAATTATTAATTATATCACTGTTTTATTATTTAATTTTATAAATAGGTGGGACTTGATTTCGTCGTGGTAATTGTTTATTCCCGTGGACGGAATTATTTAATTTTGACCTGATGAACTTGATGAATCACCAAATTACCCTGATTTATTATTCTGAAAAATATAAAAAATTATTTATTAGTCTTATTTAAATATTAATAAATTTTATTAATCGGTGAGTAATAATTAGGATATACTAATGAAACAAAGAAAGGAATCCCGGGATTACGACATTGAAAAAATACAATGTGTATAATCACCGATTAAAAAGATAAAAAAAAAATACACGACTTATAATGTCAATTATGTACATATATCTACGTTGTGTACAATACAATATATGCGGTATGTATATGTATATAAATGTATGTAGATTGTGGACTTATCGTAAATATATAAATATAAAATACAAAAAAATGTTAATTTTTTTTTAAACAGTTGTGATTCAGACAACGTGATTTCAGCACAACAGTGACTTGATTTCGACATTCATGTCTATAATACAGTTGTGTAATTACAAACCGGACAACCAATGGTGGGAGATCTTTAAGGTCAGGGGTATCTGGAAGGTGCTTCAATGTTCCTACCATTCAAAATATCGCATTATCAAATTCATTCAATAACATTCATAACTAAATACTATCTCTATATTTACAATAATAAATAGTATCTAAATTCAAATTTATCAACAGTTCCGCGGTTTCTTCCGCGCATGATTTTACAATTACGCATGACCAATACGGACTGCATAAAATGGCTTCACACATTATTGAAGTATTAAAATATTTAAATTGATTAAAATCTGAATATTTGAAAATCAAGTTGAAGATAAATAAAAATCTAATAATTAGTAAACTGTAAGATATCACAGTTAAGTAGCTTCTTGACTATTTCATCAACAACAAAACCTTGAAGACATACCCAAGGCTCAATGATATTGATCGGTATATCATCAAAGAAAATTACTCAAATTACAAATATGATGTATGCCGTACACTCGGTCCACAACAGCTCATAAATATTCAAGTATGTACAGACATTTGTACACATTATTTGTAATAAAATGTCGAAATTGTACGCGTTAAATTAAAAAAACGTGAAATAGTTTAGCTATTTCATGGATGTATTGATCAAGACTAAACTCCTATCAGAGTCGTACAGAAACGTTGATGATAGAAGTCAAGCTATACCACAACAACAAGTCTCAACAGCTTGGATGAGTATAAATGTATTGGTATGATGAAATAAGCTTAGTTGTTTCTTGAATGTTAGTGATGTTAAGACCGGATAGCTTGGCCAGATATCCTTCGTTAAGGTCAAAATGGCCGAAGTCCAGCGAATAAAATTCATTTAAATTACTTCATTCATTTCAGCCATTCATTATTTTTCCAATTATACCAAAAACTTTTATTCTACCTCGCACGACATGACGCGTGATACTCTTTAAATATCTAAGGTGCAGAAAAACGAGTAATTAATTATCATAATCAATATTATAAACGGAAGAAATCTTGTTAATGATTATTTTAGTTTTTTTATAAATAAAACCGGAGAAAGCACACACCAAACACCTAGTTGAAGTTGCATTGATATGAAGAACAAGTATTTAATGTTGTTACCATTGTGAAAGCGCTTTCGAATAAAATTCAACATATTTGATAAATATTTTTTAAACCAGCCACTTTTAAATAAACAAATAAATAAATTAAGATAATTTACTGAAGAAATATAAGTATATAAATTAACATTGATATATAACAACATCAACCACCGCACTTTGCACTTCAATCTTTGACACTTTTAATTATTTTTAAATAATATTATTAATTATAACAATAATAATAATAATAATAATAACTAATCCATATAATAATATAAAATTACCTTAGTTTGTTTAAGTAAAAAAAGTCTCAGTAAATCTTTTCTTTTTATTCTTCAAATTGAAATAATATACGTAATTATTGTTACCGTAATGTAACAACAATATTTCGTATAATAATATTTATCGTAATTGTCAATGTCAAACCGGATGAATCCGGTGATGAAAAAAATATTGTCGTGATTTCTTCAGCGGATATTGATTACTTATAGCGTTATAATATATATATATATATATATATATATATATAGCCGTAATAAAATGCGGTTAAATATTTCCAATTTAATAATATAATAATAATCACTTAGATGATGAATTATTATATCATATATTATACGAATAATTCGTAATCGGGGAACAGTTAAAGCCCAAGAGGCCTTAAGCCGATCTCCGCTTAGAAACAACGACGACACAGACAATACGAAATTAATAATGACGTGTAAGCAGCACCAACCGTACGCGCCATTGTGCAACTACTAACTGACGACTGGGCACTTACTGAGACGCAACCTGGTAAAGACTGAGTGTAACAGTCGACTAACACTCGTATCGCCGAGAACTCGCTGAGCCAACCACTACCACGAGGAAATTCAGCCCACACCTACAGACACTACCACTAGTTCATTTCTTCCAACCCATACTACCAATAGTAGACTACCACCAATACCATCAGCGTCAAGATCAGCTTTGTAACCTGTATGGTCACATTTATATACATCTGCCGAATAATCTAGCAAATACTTTAATATAAAATAATAATAATATAAAGAACACAATACATCAATAGATTTTTATTTGATCAACTATACTAAAACGCTACATCAATGTTGGGGTCATGTGTTTTTGTAGATTACAGAGTAGGTGGTTGGACATATACATATATTATATATTGAATGGTATATTATTAATGTGTATGTATAAAACTGTATTGATGCATGTATATACCATGTACGTGTATGCTACTACGCGCATGCGTATAAAAGAAGAAATGACATGGACAGCTGTGTATGTTGATTCATACATGGGTGGTATGAATTCACTGGAGCATATATGTAAGTAAATTATCAAAGTATTTGTGTATGTAAGTAAATATGTAAATGCAATGTATATATGTACTGAAACGTAATTTTTTTTTAATGTGTAGGGGACAGTATAGGCTGCTGATGTATGTATGTACAATGCATATTGCGAGGATACGTGGGTTAACGCGAGTGACACCACGTAGACGATTTACTGATGATACAATGCTCTTGATGTACACGTTATGATACTACATTATGCTGATTGACGTGGTGGCTTGAGATTAATTTAAGTTATGTTGTGTTATGTTTAATTTACACTGACCCTGATAAAATACTGTGTTAATTCAATTACTGATTCTGAAGTTTAATTGTTCAATGAATTGGATAATTTGCGGTTTGATGACTTTCAAAATTATTTTTTTTTTTTTTTTATCTTATTCTAGGTCATTTTTTTTGTACATTTTTCAGGGTGGTAAATAATTATCACTTGAGGAGAGTATGAAAAATATTTTGGAAAAATAATCAATGGTTTTATAGCCTACATTGCTTGTTTTAATAATTTTTTTAGGGTGTATATTATTAATTTTTATTTATCTTTTAGAGCGATTGGATGATCATAAAAAATAGAAAATTGTGAAGAGTATTTGATGAGGAAATAATACATAATTTAATAATCCGAATATGCGTATTTCAAAATAGTTGGTAATTTTTTAAAGATTACAATTAATTTTTATTATCGTAATCATTTTTAGATAATGAAAAGTGTTTTTGTAAATTAATTTCTCACCTTGTCATTATTAATAAACACGGATTATTTCAGAACACTATATACTATTAATAATTGGTATGTATTATACGTACTAATTAATATTCGATCTTAGATCTAAATCGAGCAGGTAATTTAGGTCACCGATTGTCATACTTTCAATAGCTTTATTTACAGTTAAGAATCGATTTAGTAATTAGTTACCGATAGTTCAAAAATGTCATTAATAATTATTTTATTCAATGATCAGAATCGATCATAAAGAAAATAAAGCTGAGGTAATTCTAGGTTGGATGTAATAAGAATATAAACTTGAAACACATCGCGTGATTTCTTATTGTTTAAATATGAGTCAAAAATTACTCACTTGATTATCAAAATCTTTAGTCACGAATAGAATACATGCAGGTATATAACTAAATTCAAAGAATAAAACGTTGTTGAAATATCAAGAAAATTTTAAGTACGATAACCAAACTGTTAATTAAACTAATAATTTTTAATTTAATGTAACTTGAAAATATTTTTAATGATAATTTTTCCTTAGTCATTCTATTGAACATAGTTGCGTCACTAATAAAAGTATTTTTATATTATTAATACAGTAATTAAAATTGTAAAAGTAACTGCAAATAATTCACTTAGTGATTCATACTAATTGTTAATAATCAATTAAGGTGTACGTTCAACTCGACGGAAAAAATGAAAATTTTTTCTGTAAGAATATTTTTT